TTGCTGCAGCAGGCAACCTGGGCACCTGGGCACCTGGGCACGCTGGAAAGGGCAGCGCTTCCGAGATGATTGTACCCTCGCGCCGATATGCCGTTTCGACTTGGCTGAATATACCTCGAGAGCCCAGCTGGAGGTTACTGAGGAACGTATGGAGTAGACAAGTTTTGAATCCATCTAGTTTATTTGCAGTGTCATGTTCTAATCCACGTGTCTTTGCCACCCGCCGCATATCTTCTGCACCGAGTATCCGTAATCCATAGTTACTAGTAAGACGGATCATCATCACCTCGCAAACGAGGCGGAGCTGAATGTAGTCATCCGATGTCCCTACTATCGCGCACAACGAGCAATTGTTCGAAACATGATGCTGTCTTTGGCTCACCGCAAATGTATTTTCTTTTTTTCTGGGCAGAGCCGACGCATGGGCTTGGGGGTCCTTCCTGCTCACCTTCCCAGCTCTCCCCCCTCCCCGCCATCACCGCCTGATGGAAGCGTCCCTTGGGGGACAAAGCAGATCCTTCACCGTCGGCACCTTGCAGACGGGTATAGAGTACCTCCCCCACCACCAAACGCTTACAAAAAAAAAAAAAGGGACGTTGAAACCCAACGGAGGGACGCGTCTCGCTGGGCCCCCAAAAAGAGAATCGTCGGCGGTCGGCGTGCCGCAACACGCTTACGTTTTCAGCTCGTTCGATGAATCTATTCCTGCTGACCGTTTCGTTTTTGAGTATCCAGGTGATGGATTATGGAGGGGGCGAAACAAAGAAGACGGAGCAAAGTTTGCCCTCTCGTGACTGATCCTTTTACGTCCAAGTTCTGTGCTGCTCCAGAATAACTCGCACTCCATCCTTGGATCAGCTCAGGTTCGGAATGGATGCAGCTGCTCCATGGCTGGGTGGGAAATGTATAGTTTTTTTGTGTGACACGGGAAAATTATATACGGATAGGTACAGTTCTGTACCCTTTTCCTCACCAAGAAACTCACTACTCTACTCCCCCCTCCCTCCCTCCCCTTCCTCTCACCGTCGTCTATGATTGCCCACAAAGGAGTGAGTCGCTAATATATTACTGCAGGAATGTGCAGCCACACAACCATCGGCCGGCCCTGCAACGCGTACACACCGCAGCGATCCTGCCCAGCTGCGCTGCATGACGGTGGCATTGCTTGGCCTCGAGAGCACCACACCTCAATTGCACGGTTTTGGCTGGCCGTTTATTTTCTGGGTGACGGCTCCGTCATGAGCGATCAGCAAAAAGGACGCCACGGTATGAGGAGGTCTGTCAGCGACGACACGGCACGAGACTGTCTGTCCCTCGCACTGCTTTTTACATGTCAGATGCCAAGTAAGCATCAATGCTGTTGGATGGCACTTGTACTCTGTTCAATGTTCTACATCTGAAATGTCCTACATCTTTATCGTCATCGACGATTGCATTGATTCTTGAAACCAAGCCAGCTATCGGTACAGTCTGCTGAGCAGTTTGACAGTGAGAAGCTTGCAGAAAGTGTACCATACGAAGATATGACGTCGACCGGACCCCGGAGCATGGGGGGGGGGAGGGGGGTCACTTCCAACGCAAGACAAGGGTTCAACCCAGCTACGCCATTTCTCATGATCCGAAACACATTCGCGAACCACAGACGTCGTAGTACATGTCAATATCGAAGCAATACGGTCCACGTCAATTATGGTGGCAGTAGGATACGCAAATGGCCGTGTGACAAAGGATTGATTTTGCCATTCCTCGCCGTTGCAATAGTGGAAAACTTGTTCACCCCCGCGTTCCAAGCTCCAACGGTCACGAGGCGGGTGACATGGTGAAACAGACCTCAGCTAAGACAACTGGTGGTTTTGGCATACATGTGTAAGCCACACCAAACCTACAGAGGCAAAGAGGGAGGGGCTGCCAATTCATACGCCGCAAAGCAAACAGCTTTCAAGCAAGAAATTCCCGTCTCGGAAAATCTTCCGTCAAGACTGTCTGCTTTTCGGTGGGATGAGACTATCTCGCGGACATTGATCTCCGGGGGACTGCGGGACATAATATCATGGTCGACTTGTTTCTTGTATTTTCTCCTGTGAGCAAAGGGGAATTCTCCATTTTCTACAACCTTTCTGCGACTACAGAAAAGCAAAAGAGACATGCAGCAAATGTGTTTCTACCATATCGAGTTTTCCACCGGGTCCTACAACCCATACACGTTGCATCAATGTATTTCTCGAGTAGAACCATTGCAAACGTCCGTTTACAACTGGTGCAATCGCTGTGAGGGTAGCGGGTGCCGAAGACCGAATCGGCCTTGATGTCCCCTGTTGCCGAGTGTTCTCCGGTGTACGCAGACGAATCAGGAACGAGGGTTTACTAAAAATTTTAATTGAAATTTCGAATTTTCTTCTCGTCACACCGATTCATGGACAGCCATATCCCATTCCTAGTGGACATTTGCGGGGAAAGGCCAAAGGGCGCATGTGTACGGCCGTCCTCATGATGCTCATCTCATATGGTCACAACAAGGAAAAAGGGGCACAAACGAGTTTTCTACTGATATTGTGAACAAGCCCAGGTCACAGCCGAGACTCATTTGACTGTCTGAGTTCTTCTCCCCAGCCGTTAGAACAACAAGTCACCCCCCCTCCCCCATTTCTGATGACCGTTGCGACGAAGAAAAAAAAAAAAATCTTGTTGCCAGACTGCTTTTCCCAACCTCTCTCCAGGAGTTGCGCTAAAAAAAAAAAAAAAAAACTAGGGGAACGGCCCGTAACTCACTAAAACTCGGCTCGGGCGCGACAAGGAGCTTTGACACTTGCTTCAGAAACGCGATTCAGTCATGGCAATGCGGTGGAAGCTGCCCTCAGCAGAAATTCGTCAGGGTTGCTGGCTATCATCCAACATCCTTGACCCATGTTTGACGTTTTGACTGCGCTAGGCAAAGTTGTCATAAAATCGGCATCCATGTATCATCAGACCACGTTCACGTTCACCCAAAGTTCATCCACACGTTCAAGACTAAGGTCAATCAATCCCTTTCTCCTGTGTGGAGCAGAAACTACGCCCCGAGCGTTGGACATGGCACTAATTACAAGTGTTCTGATGATCAAGGCTCACCGAAAAAAGTGTGATTAGATTCGGCATTTACATATACAAAAGTTTCGAGGTCTTATCAACAACTCGGTCTGTGTACTTGTCCTCGGCCCGGCTACGCGGCCCGGCTCTGCGCACCAGCTCGATTCCCCCCTTGCTTGCTGGGACGAGTGTCAAAATGCCAAAGTCATCAAGGGTCAACCGCGTAATAGCGTAATAGGCGAGGTAGCGATAAGCTGATCAAAAGATAAACCTACCACATGAAAAAAAAAGACACAGATCAACAAGGCCGAAACAGCAAAGCAGCCGCAGCCGCAACGTGCCTCTCAACACTGCCACCTACCCCGATTATGCACTCCAGAAAGTAATCAAAAGTCTTTAATGCATCAGATTCAGATACTTGGCTTTTCCCCCCTTCCTTCTTTGCACCCTTTTTGGTGATGGCCTGATGGAAAACAGGTAATTGCCCGTTCGGCTCAAAGAAGAAAAAGACAACGAAAAAATAGCTTTGAGAGGCTTTGACGGGGACCAAAGAACCCGGTGCCTCCGGGTGCCGCAAAAGTTTCTGGGCGCGATGCAGGGGTTGCGGAAAAGCGCTGGCGAGACCCGAGCAAAGTTGCCCGAGCAAGTTTTGAGCTAATGCCTGTACTGCTGGAGTGAAGAAAGTATAATAAAAGAATGCCAATGAATAATTAAACAATTTTCTGTTCTTTTATTTTATTTTATTTTATTTTATTTTATCTTTATTTTAAATCACAAGTTCGATAAACTCAAGAGATCAAGTGATCCGACGCGTTGGTTGCCACACAATGTCTCCTGAACCAAATCCACGTATGATGATCGTGGATCAGACAGGTACGCGATTGCCACCAAACTAGAGTCATCTATTCGTCAACGTCTTACTGACACTCCATCATTCCATGATTCTTACTACTATTGATACATTGCGAGCGTTGCTCGAAACCTCTAATAATGACAACTTTGTGGGGGATTTTTCAGTGTTGGCTAACCATTTGCCAACCTCTCATGTATTTTTTTTTTTTACTTGCCAATCATTGACCAGTCATTCATTACCCGCACTAATTCATGTTTTTGTATTGTGCATTGCTGTCGAATTTGAATACCCTTTCTTCTTCTCGAAACGTAAAACTGCCAGACACTCAAACTGCCATTCCCTCGAGTCCCTTGAGCTTTGTTCGGCAAAGTAAGTGCAAACGCAACTGCCGTAGCCAAAAAAGTGACAGGTTGGAATCAGTTCTAGTAATTACCACGGAAAGCAACGCTAATAACAAAATTGATGCACCACACCACTTCTTGTAGCGTCCGGGATGGGTGCTTCCGCCCTCCGGCAATACTCCCCATTGTCCCCCGGTGTGGTCGACGGTCGGGCCTCGTCTCGATTCATTCAACCATGCGGGCTTTTGGCTCGTTGGCCTGTATTCATCACCTAGACTCCCCCAGAAATTGCGCGTCGCTCCATAGGCCAGGCGCAAAATGTGTGTTGATGCAACCCAGTTATTTCACAAGTTACCATCACGCTCGCCATGCTTGCAGTGTCGGAAAGGGCGTCGCGTGTAAGTACTCCGTTCCTGCCCGCAACCTGTCTCGATTTCATCGTTTCATTCATGCGAGCGCTTTGCAGTGTTGTCGATCCGAGATTCTTGGCCGTATAGAACCACCACTCGATGCGAGAGAATCTCGGGAGATTTCGGTCTTTGGGTTGCACTGTTTTTTTTTATAATGTGAATGGAACGAGAGAAGACTACGCAGAGCTCCTTTTCTACAGTCAGACCAGAACTTCGCTTTCCTTCCAAGCCAAATAGGTGCACCTTTGTCTTGTAAATCCAAGTTTCCGAATATCTAGGCTCATACAACCGCGACTTTGACTTCCACACAAGCGGGCAGCGCTTCGACATCTATTCTGGCACTGGACATAGATCCAAGTTGCCCTTTACATTATTCCCCCACCACTGTGGAAACGGCACTGATCGACCAGCTGCACCAAACACAGCAAAGGACAGGATAAACAAGCAGGTCAAACTGCCTCCATCCCAGGCACTTGTAATCAAGTAGGAATAATTCTTGAAAAAGCGCTGGTGGTAGTTTCTCAAGTAAAACTGTGTAAAAAGGCCGGCAATGATGCCACTTAAAATGATGCATGTCTGTGACTGGTTGTATGGGACAAAACCGGCGTACTGCAATAGCTGTGGCAGATTGATGTTGTGAAGGGAGAAGCCGTAGACTTTGGGGGCAAACTATGAGGTTCAGCGATGAATAATGCAACACTCTGGCGGGACGCGACTTACAAATACAACAACGCGATGAATCACAACCAAGCCAGCGCCGAATAAAACGCCAAATGGGACGGCAGCGTACGTAGAGCCAAGCGTGTACAGGTATTTTGCCAGGGCCCATGAAGTGGCGCTGGTATTGAACGACTGAAAGGATGCACCGCTCCAGGAAGAATTGCCATTGGTATTCGCTAGAAGATCGCGATTGTCGTTGACAATGGAGACCATAACTGCATAGTTGACAACGGCGCCGAGCAACGTGCCGTATATCTGAGTGGTGAACATGACACGCGGTGGGATTTTGACTGCCAAGCCAGTTAGCACATGTTTCTCATTTTCATTTTCGTGGGATTGATTGATGATCGAGTCGGGGCTGCTACGTACGGTATTCACCCAATTTCAGATCGCTGGACAAGTTGACACAACTGGCAATGACACTATGCGACCACGCGGCAAAGTACATGTTTCCAATGGGACGGCCAGGTACGGTCAGACCAGCAATCATTTTGGACAAGTTGTTTGTCGCGATACCGTTACCAAAACGGGCAAATAGTATCACGCTCTGAAAAAAAAAAAAGAAAGTTAGGATAGTTTGTACCCAAGGAATCGTCGACGCCACTTACAAATGGAGCAATGATGATGCCAAAAATGAGGGCAACAATGTATGCCCAAACAGGAATTGTAAGGTCCTGGCTCACAATGACAGCGATACCAAGCACAAAGCTACCAACTATAATCGATGCGTACCACCACCAGGGTGTCTCTTTGTAGTGCTTGGCCATGTGCTCATGATGTCTGTCATTAAAGTTGCCTTTTCTGGCACTCTTGAAAGATTTGTAAATGTCCTTGCCCCAGAATAAAAAGCAGTGCACAATGAGAGCACCAATCTGTCAAGGCTCATTAGCAGATTGACAAGATTTGAGACGCTGTTGTTCTCTTTCTACTTACCGCTGCATTGGCCATGAACATGGCATATGCAAAGCTTCCAGTAAGTTTTGGGACACCGAATCGACCAAGTGCATCCTCATTCAAAATGCCACCAGAGAATACCTCTGCGACGGGATAAGCTGTTCCATTCTCGGATTGGAGACGTGTTGACATAAAAGGCAGTGACCTTGAATCCCAAACATTATTGTAGTATATGCCAGCCATGGCAATGAAACATATAAACAAGCCAACAGCGGAGTGCAGTTGAGTTGTCAAGGGCAGAGAAGTAGCACTAGAAGTGATCTGCAAACTTGTGGTCAGCATCTGGCGCTCTCCAGGAAACAGTTGGTGAAACATACATATTGCCAGTCAAAGGATAGACTAAAGAGACCGAGGCCTTGGTTGTTTTGGGACCCGCCAAAGACGTTGTTCAGAACTGCGGCAGTCTCGCCAGTGGCCTTCATCGATGCCAAGCAGGGGATGGAGACGGAGTTTAGCCACGGCATGATGTAAGCAGGCAGAAACTCATAGGAAAACATGGCACCGAAGCTCCACCAGAATGCTCGTAGAGGTTTGGAGTTTCGGACATCTGCCCAGTGCAGACCCTGGAGGGTCTTGACCACAGGTATGTTGGTCCAATAAACAGACTTGACATGCCAGACAGCGACTGGTCGCAGAATCCCACAGAGACCGTAGCCAAACAGACCAATGGAAAGCGTGCTGAGAACCACAGTGGTTGCTGTAAGCGGCAAGTCATAGAATAAATCCTGTGTCGTAAAGACAGTAATGCTGGCGGTAGCATTGGAGGCTGAAGTGGCAGTGATGGAGCAAACGGCGTGCTCCTTGAGGTTCCACTGCCCGTGATTAAAGAATGACAAGACTCGGATCCATCGTGGTGGCTCGCCTTGGCCCCCTTTCTCTCTCCATCGAGCCTCGTGCACATCTCCTCGCGGAAGAAACTTGGCCCAGGCCAAGCCTGAAAAGTAGGCAATGAGCACAATGAATGTGCCAGAAACCGGGACCGATGTTGGTTTAAACTAGAGTTGACAGTCTTGTCAGCAACGAACCACAAATCGCAAAGGTACTTGTATGAGGCAAGAGAATACCGCATAAATTTGAGTCATGGCAGCTTGGAACGACGCAAGGCATGATGCGAGAAACAAGCTGCGAAATGTCAAGGCCGGCTCAAAATCATCCCTCAGAGGTAAGAGATGGGTCACGACCGCTTCGGCAGTGTCGAGAATCTTGGCATCGTCTTGATCCGAGTCGCTGCCTACCCCCGTCTCCTCTGGCAGTCCAGTAGCGACCGCCCTTACTTCAGACTTTGGATGCACTCTCTTTTCATCGTCGCTGTCCGAAGTAGACAGGATAGGGCTTGTCTTGTTCCCCTCTTTGTTGTCAATTGAATCGGCCATTGTTATCGACCCGCCACATGAGGACGCCAAGAGGGGTCTGGGCCACGAGTAGCGAAACGCAGCATCTTTTATAACATCAGCCTCCTGGGGCAAATCTTCATCTCTAGACCGTGCACAGCAACCCACGTCCTCGTCAAACTGCTGCAAGTCGGCGGAAGACGGCAAGATGGTGGCTGCGGTTGCGGTTAGGGGGGTGGTGCAATGGACCGGCCCGTATCGCGCCATAGCTCCTTCGCGTCAAATGTAAGCCGCAAGCTCCGCCAGACAGCCAACAAGATGTCGTTTTATTCGTCGAGATACAAGCACGCCTCGAATCTTGCATGAGGAACTACTGTTGGAAGCGTTCAAAAGGTTCAAAGGTACCTTAAGAACTTCCAAATGTGGCAAGTGCTTTTAAACAACAGCCAACTCCAACTCATGGAAATACACAAGTAATAACCACGCAGCCCCGCGCGTTTGATAACGCCATTTTGCCTAATCAAGAATTGCTTATTCGTTGTTCATCTCTTGGTGGAGTCGTGTCATTGTTTGTACAATGGGAAAACTGATGTGATGAGACATTGGTAAGCCATGTCACATAATTTCATCCATCTCGGTTGTCTACCGAGACAGCAGTCTACGCTGACACGCAATGGGTACGTAGATATAAGTCTGTCATTGTCGCGAATCAAAGAGGCGGGCGCATCGCACGGGCAGTCAGCAGACTGGAATTGTCTGGATGAAAGTGATGAGTTGATGTTGAAAGGAGAAGAGGCATATTTAGTGACAGTGAGAAGGGTCCTCGGCTGAGTCAGTCAGTGGTGGGCGTGCCTGCCAACACCACTCCATGTTAATAAGCATAGTCACATTTCATGTTCACATAGCGCCTTGGTGTGACAAAACTTAAAAAACAAAAACAAATATGCATCTATATATCATGATACTATGCTACATTAACTATTAAACATCATAACCCGCTATTTCCTTTCCCTAGCCCTTAGTACTTGGGGGCTTCGACGTGAAAGGGCTTGTCGGGCACATTCCCCGCGGCAATCTCGTCATCATTGTAGGCCGGGTAGGCAATCAGGTTCTTCTTGGTGTCAAAGACGGCAAAAGTGGTGAAGCCGACGACAAACTGGCCGGACCAGTCGCTGGTGACTCTAAAGTCGCCGCACTGGACGGGCCCGCCCTTGGAGCGCGAGGCGGGCTTGCCGCCGGCGGCCTTGACGACGTAGGTGCACGCGGTCGGGGCGGTGAGCTGGTTGTTGATGGCGAACTTCCAGGTGCAGGACGAGTCTTGGCCGTCGCAGGCGCGAGACAGGCCCTGGATGATCCAGTCGGGGTCCCTGGCCTCGAGGGGGGCGGCCGCAGTGGCAGTGGCGGCGACGGCGACGGTCAAGAGAGTCTTGGAGAAGTGCATCGTGATGGCCTTTGGTTGTTTTGAAAGTGTCCTTGGGTAGAAGTTGTTGTTAAAAGTAAGAAGGAACGAGTGATTGATATGAATTGATTGTTTGTGGTGCTTGATGGATGAGATTATTTTGGTCGGGACACCGCGGCCCTCTTATACTTGATGATTTACAGGATGCCTGGCAGGTGAATTGGGACCTCACGCCAATGCAATGACTTGAAAACTACTACCTTTTTGCCCGACCTTGAATAATGACGTCTCTGCGCTTCCTCACCGAACCATTGTATCCGTATCCCCAAGTCTGCCCAAGCTCAAAGTATCTCGGAGTCCCTAGATCGGCATAGTCAGCTCGTATTCCCCCCCCGATCGCTACTAGTAGGGCTGGGGGTACTTTTTCGGTGGGACAACTGCAGGTTGACTCGCTCTCAATACTACCCCAATATGCGAGTTGCCGGTGAGAGTAGCAGCCTATGTTGTGGGCAAAGTGCCCCCCTCATCAGCCAGCGTGCCAGCCCAACGCTCCGCGCCCGACAAGATGTGTCTAAAAATAATTCTCATTCTATACAAATCCGTTCAAAATTTTGAGTTACTTGTACCGATTCGGTTCACTATTTGTGTGGCAAAAGATTCGTCCTAGAAGAGGAAAGGCCTAGAGAAGGAGGGCAAAGGCAAGCCTGCCGTTTATTAGCGGGAACCTTGCCAGAAAGCCGGTGTCCAGTGTGCAAATGACGTAGCCAAAACGGGTCAGATTCTCAGCGACTGTTCAGCACTTTCGTATTCCAATTATAGCAAGTGTAGATCGGGGTCTAACCGGGCCTAGTTTCCACAAATCATGAGAATAGTTTCTTTTTTGCATCTTTCTCGGCTGTGCTGTCAAAATGAATTAAATCATTTCCGCAACAAAGCTTGCGGGCGCGACAAACCGACTTTGCCCTGCCAACCTGCCAGCGGCCGCCCATGTGTCTTGCATAAAATACAAGGCCTTTCTTCTTTGCAAGACCTTTCTTTTTTGCAACACGAGTCTTTTGTCACAGCGTTGCTTTTTTCATTCTCCAAAAGTCTCGGATCCGCTGCAAAGTTTCGGCTTGACAGCCAGCCAAGAAGCCCGGCGCCCATGCGGGCCGCTGACGGAACACCGCCATGACGGCGAGAAGCCGGAAAAGCGGAAAAGCAGCTCCTTGGATACACGATGCTTGGCGGGTGGTGTCCTGCAGATGCAATGATGACAATATTGACAACCGGCTCGTATACAGATTGACAGACTCAAGAATTCATGCTCGGCTGAACTTGGCATGAAGCAAAAAAGTGGAATTCGAACCTCGAAGTTGCCACTCTCACATGAGCTTATTATTTATGGCCCTTTGGGCCCGTATAGCTACATGGCAATATTGTACATTAGTGGCCATCCTATAAAGACGCAAAAAGAAAAGAAAAAAAAGCATGGCTCTCACGACTTCTTGGCACCGGGTTGAGTACCAATACGCTTGAATTTGCGAGGATCTTTCCTGCTCATCATGCGCTGGTCCCTTGTTCCCTTGCCACCCTCCCAGAAGCCTCTACCCTTTTTTCCAATGACGCCTCGGCCGCAAAACTTGCATTCGTCCACGGCATAATTCTGCTCACGGCTGCACCAGCCGCATATCATGCGGTTGGCCCACTCGTTGGGGTGATCTTCGGCTTCTTCGTGGCATCGATCGCACGAAAAGACCTTGTTGCAGCACGAGAAGCGGAACCAGCGGTACGATTTGCGGTAGTGTGTGCATGCACCGCGATTCGGCAGCGGCTCGCCAGCGTGCAGACCAAGCTTCTCCGTCTTGCGCTTGGGGCCCGACGTCGGCGGCGGTAGCGTGCCTGGTGTAATGAACAGAAACTTGACGTCTGGGATTTTAAAAGTAAACTTGGAATGGCACTCGCGGCACACATTCGTCATGGTCTCGCCGCGTACCGAGACGAGCCCGTGGCTGGGCGTGGAGCAGCGTTCGCACGTGGGCACAAATGTACTCGGCAGCATGTCGGCAACTTTACAGCCAGAGAGATCGATAAAGCCGGCTCTGGAAGAATGCTCGTGGACGTATTGGGGATTATACTTGGCAGAAAATGCAGCTGCACATTTCTTGCAGCTGCCGGTCTTCTCAATGCCAGGCTTGATTCCAGTCAAGTCGTTTAGAGTGCGACAGCGGTCGCACTTGATTGTCAGACTGAGAAGGGAAACCTGCAGGAGCTCAAGTCCATGAAGCTCAATAGACGGGAATGATATCATGGTTCCATGTTCGGGTGCATCCAACGTAGCAATAGACGACTTCTCCTCTCCATTTTCTAGCTCTGCGCCGCCGTCATCAGAACTGCTGGTTTCCTCTTCCTCGGAGCTTCCGCTATCGTTTTCATTGGTCCATTCTGGAGGTCGTGGAATGTACTGGATATGGCTCTTCTCTGTGCCAGAATCGCCGGTAGAATCTTCTTCCTTTGTCTGCTCGAGACTGGTCTCCTGCGGTTGGGGAATCTCAGCCTTTGCCGCGTTCAACTGTGCCATTTTGGCTAGGAGATGCAGATTCTGTGCAAGGTAGTTGACGTGACCCATGAGATTGATCTGCTTCTGGCCGGCTGCCCTTTGAACGAACAAGTCTTCGACTGGTTCAGCGTCCTTGGCGTCGGCTTCATTGAGCTGGACTCGAATATCTTGGAGTGGATAGAGCAGAGGGACGATGAGATGGATGTTGTTGACGGAACGAAGGCCGTCGGGTAGGTCTGCCTTCTTCTTCGGCTCCAAGGGTAGAGTGAAGACAACTCCATCCGCAGAGCGACGGTAGAGAGGCAGCCTCCCCATGCGAGCCTCGAGCTGGCGCACTTCTTGCGCTCGCCGTTCCTTGGCAACAGCAATCTCCTCCCTAGAATGTCTCTTGTCCGGGACGTAAGGTTTGGGTGGTGGGTTTTTGAATGCAGCGACTGGCTGAACGATATCTTTTGACGTGGAGGCTGCCCCTTTATTTTCGCGCTCTTGCTCGAGATGCCTCGTATCCTTGAAAGTGACAAGTTTGACTGTTTCGACCTTTTGCTCAGACAAGAAAGTTTCCAGATTCTTGTCTAAAGCATTGATTAAGGACAGCAGCGTGAACCCTTTTTTCTCTTCTGCAAGCTTATCCCATCCCTTTTCGACATTGATACTGAAGCCCCTGGGAATATCCTTGTTGGTGACTCGCAGCACAGGCCTTTTCGCGGGGTACTCCTTAGGCACAAGTAAATCGCAATGGAGATGTGCCAATTCAAAGGGAAAATCTGGGTCTGATGGGGTCATCTTGAAAGCAAGCGATGTGCCGCCGTTTGAAGTGATGGTTTCTTTTGGTGAGTAGCGCTTTTGGACCTGCCCAAGCTGGTAGCCGCGGGGATCTTCTAACTCGGCCTTTGGGACTGGTTTCGAGACAACACGAGCACTCGAGGGCTCGGCGACAGCCTGCCTCCGGGTTGTTGAAGCGCCATCATCTTTCAGATGCAGAGGAAGCATGGTTTCTGGGATTGAGTTGTGACGAGAGTTTTTGTACGGGTTTGCTGTAGATTGACGAAAGTGTCTGAAACCGAAGGGACCAGGACGCCTATGCAAATGCCCACGCTAAACAGAAGTGACAGTGTTGGATATATGAGAGTTTTTGTCGTTATGGACACTTGAAGAAGACGGCGCTTGCCAGATTATATCTTGAATGAGAGGTTCGTGGTGGCAATGGCGAATGGTTTGCCTGCGGGGCGTTTGAAGTTTGAAGATGCGGCGCACTGTGGCTGCCCCGCTACATTTCCCAATAGGCCACTGTGAGTCACCTCCAGAACAGCCTGAATAGGTATAGTTGTAGGTAAATCTTCAAATCCATATGCTAAATTTCAGCCGCTGTGACTCTAACCTAGAGTCATAATAAATTCCAAAGCTCTAATAGGCTCGCCTGAGATGAATCATCTCAACCGTCTAATGTCTGATGGGTTATGCACTGGACAGGAAGCCGACATCCCACTGAGTACAAAGCCAGTCAGCGTCGTCTACCTCGTAGGCGACCGCACTTTGAGACTCACCAAAAAGACAATATGAAGCCTCCAATGCACATCGGTAAAAAGTTGTCGTATATGATCTGGCTATAAGCCGGGTATAAATAGTGCAGTAATTGGCAAGTAGGAGCGACACCCCTGCCTCACGATAATTGTAGTAGTAATTAATGCGAATTGATCTGTGCAACAACTAACTGGTACTCTCTGCAGCCAACGGTCAATTTAGAACGGTGCATCTCGAATCCGTATATGCAACATGGCCAACTGTGGCGCTTTCTGGTGTCTCTCTTTGGCGTGACGTGAGCGATCGCGTGTGACAGACTGAGAGGCGGGACGCAATACGACACGAACAGGTATATTAGAGAAACTGCAATTGCCTTTATCAATTCAAGAGTATCTATCGTCGTATGCCCCCTCCCGAGAAAAAAAAAGGATTACAATGCGCCAAAAAAAAAAGCAGTAGCACATGCGAGTAACAGGTTGACAGGGAACGAGTTGGCTCAGGTGAGCATACACATGGTCAAAGTGACTGGCGAGAATACGTGTTGCGACTTGCTGCCCAATATATAAAAAAAATGTATTAAAAAATAATAAAAGCCGACCAGCTGCGCCCAGTACATGCAGATGGTCTTGGCCTGAGAGACCCGGCAGATCTGCTCTGCAGCCTGGATTCCATACCATCTTGTGCGAGGCCGCTGGCTCTGACTATTACATTCCGTGATTCCCTACGTGCCTACCTACCTGTGACTGTCGATTGCCACGTCGAATGTCAGGCCGCCCCGCGGGACTGGTACAAAACACCCCAATGATCACGACCACCGATAGAGTTGGCCACCGAGCAGGCCCCTTGCATGACCAAGGCATCACAACACTTTTTTTGGTGAAAGACGACATTTTCAACACGTCAACTCTCCCCGCCTATGCCTCGTGCGTGCGTCGGATGATTCCAAGGGTGTGCTTCCAATGAATAGATTGCCCACCCGTCGAGCGCCCTAAACAGGAACAAATAGCCCTTGCAAGTGGATTTCTCGATAAGCGATGCTAAGTATTAACAAGAATGACAAGAAGATGAATTGCCTGTTTCAGCATCGACGACGACGGAGTGACGACGATTGCAACTTGCTGGGCGCGCCGGACCAAAAAAGGTTCCGGCGTCCAATGTTACGACATGGCTTTTTTTGGGAAAAAAAGCAGCGCACCCCCCCACGAGCCAGACAGGATTGCAGTATCAAAAAAAAAAAAAAAGAATAAAAAAACAAATTGGGCGCTGGGCTAAAAACAGCGTGACCTTGCAAACGCATACTGATAGCAAAGAGGCGAGGGGGTGGTATGCCAACTCAGCAAATGTCGGGCAGATGACCTGCGACTACATGCAGACTGAGCTTGTTTTTCTTTCGTCGCCTGCACACCGCCCCCGCGTTCGCCTGTTCCCCTTTCCGCTGCTGCAATCGTCTGCACGAATTGATTTTTTATTTAATTTTCAATTAAAAAGGTTTATTTAAACTCTATTGAAAATCAATTGATTCAATTTTCTTTTATTTGAATTGTTTTTTTTCTCGCGAATATTTCATATCACTTTGCTCCTCTGTAGCGTCGATGCTGTCTCAGACATGCTCCCCATTGCCGCCGGGGAACTTGTCCGATCAAAGGGCCTACACCAAGAAGAAGCTCTATGTATAATGTGAGCATTTTTTGATTCGGAGAGTGGAACAAACAATGGCCAAGAGGAGCCGATAAGAATCGACGAGACAAAGGTTCGTCTCATCCAAAGCCTTGAGTCTGAAGAATCAAATATTCAGAGTACACAAAGTCCCCTCCTCGCAGATGAACGCTGAATATCTGTGTAAAACCAAGAAGCGGTGAAAATGCTCCCTACACATGCCCACGCCACGGGATGGTGCCGGCGTCACAACGTCTTGCGTCCCCCAATCTATGCCCTTTATGTCTCTAGTCACAACGGGCCAATTGAATTCCAGTGGCTTATATACCTTGGCACTCCATGTCCTGTACATATTGTCACGTATTTTCCACCTGTTGACTAGGCTCGCATTGGCCTGGTGATTGACACCGCCACGTCCCAACGCCGGAGGGACTCTTGCGCTGTCCGTCGCATGTAGGAATGCTGCACCCAAGACGGCACGGAGCAAATTGGCAGGACAGCACTACTTTTTTTTCACGTTATAAACGCTCGGATAGAAAAGTCTCGCTCTCTTCAGGCGTAGTATTATGGGGTAGCTTGGACATGCGGGCAATTGTTCCATCGTCGAGAGGGAAACACGGCGATTTGGCCATGATGGTCTCGCTAGCCCTACGCAGCCTGTATTTTGTGGCGTACTTTGTGCTTGCTCCTCTGGAAATAACCGATGGTCAAACATTGATTGCCAGCCATCATGTCTCATCGTCCATTCCAAACCCCGATCGCCCGTCCGTAGGCAGGCTTGCCTGCAAAGAGCTTCATACGACTATTGTATGTATCAACCACGCCATGCCCTTCAGAATTCGGCTTTGGGCAATCAAACCCAATCTGAAACCCGAAAATTATTTCTATATTTGCCTCGAATGAGGCTGAGCAGTCACTGCCAGCCCTAATGGTCGAGATGGGTATCAGCATGGGCTTCCCAAAAGCGTGATGAACAGTAACGTGATTAGGCAGCTGAAAGGCAACATTCCAATCAATACGCTCCCGAAAGACTAGAATGAACTAAAACATTCGATGACTGCCAAAGTTCCACCCCTACGCCGATGCTCATTGGCGATCACGCATTACTCGGATTCCCATGTTAGCCTCGCTCTAGCAGCTTTCCTAAATAGGAAAACGACATGACAGCCACACACTGATGCCCAGCGCTCTCCCCCACCCCCTGTAGCGTATATCTCGGATCGAGGCGCGATTTGAGGACCCTTGATATACATAGTATGATGAGAACTCCTCGAAAGCTGAGTTTAGCCTTACAATGACTGGACATGGCGTAGATGTTTCGTCAGCCCGTGGCACATATGGACCCAGAGGTGAATCCGACAGGTACGAGCTGTCTATATAACTTCCGCTGCCAGATAGCTGTAATATGAAATAGTATCTATCATCCGCTAGATTTCAATTTCTTCTCTTCGAGTCTTCTCATCCTGAATTGACCAAACATCACGCCCACGTCCCCACACAACATGTCCAACGAGGATCGCTCCATCTGGGCCTATAACCCTTCATTTCCTTTGGCAGTTGTAGGCTGCGTCATCTACGGCCTCTTGTTCGTTGCCATCACTTACACCACTTGGATCAAGCACCGTGCGTGGTTCTTCTCCGCCGTCGTTGTCGGCGCTGCGATTGAAGTGGCGGGTTACGTATGTCGCGCCTACTCGGCTAAAAACCAATCTGTCCTTGTAAGTAAAGAGTGCGAAACAATAATGCTGTTGGCGCCCCCCCCCAAAAGAGTTCAGGTTCCTAATGCATTGACCCCAGGCGCCATACATATTGACCCTCACTTTGACTGTTCTCGCCCCAGTCTTCATCGCTGCTGGTAACTACCTCCTCATCAGCCGCCTCATACTATGTGTCCTCGCGCCCACGCACCATCGTATACTTGGTATTGCCGGTCGCCTCATTACACCCATCTTCGTCACCTTTGACATTCTCTCGTTTGTCGTTCAGGGCAACGGTTCAGCCATTGCCAGCACGGGTAATTGGAGAGGCCCCAAGGAAAAGGTTGGCAGATACACATTGATTGGCGGCCTGTTGCTGCAGCTCCTCGCTTTCGGGCTGTTTCTTGCCGTGTTTGGCCGTTTTCATTTCCTGGCCAATCGATTCGCCGTACCTGATGCGCCTGTTGGCTGGCGCAGGGTTGTTCGCGCCGTCTACATCTCCAGCATTGCCATCATGGTGAGTTAAACAAGAGCCTCTGGCTTCTGAGAATGTGCATCTTACTCTTGCTAGATACGCTGCATTTATCGAGTCTGCGAGTTTGCCGAAGGTATGCAAGGCTACGCTTTCCGCACTGAGTGGCTCTTTTGGGTGTTTGAGACCATCCCAATGACCTTTGCCATCGGAGTCTTTTGCGTCTGGCATCCTACGCAATACCTGCCGCGCAGCACTCTACTCTCCAAAAAGGCCGGAGAAAAGAAGCAGCTCTCGGGAGAAATGACGACAAGTACGCCTGAATCACGCGAGCAAATGGTCTGATTGCAAGACATATGTGCCCAAGCTGTCCCGGATTGCAGCCGAATGAAATGCTAGATAGATGAGGTCACAGTAATAGTACCACGTATACAAGTTTGAAATCGCTCAATAATACAAGATTTCTCATCGTTATGCTCAAACATTACAGAATCAATTCCCGCAACGTTTCCCCAACCAGCTTCACTGTGTCGCCACCGCTGTCAAGCAGCTTCATCTCTCCAACATCAATGCATTGGCGCGTAAAAGCCACAGGCCATGCACCGTATGGTTTGTATTCCTCTGGTAGTTTTTCTTGTATTCTCTGCGTCCATGTCAGGAGCATCATCTTGATGTAGTCGTACACGTTTCTAGGCACTGAAGCTGGGGCCTCGTGGCGTCGTTCCTGTAGGATTGTCGTGCCCATCACATAGTCGAGCACAATCATGTGCATAATGAGAAGGCGCCCCGTGTAGTTTGACTCATCGATGAAAGCAGGAAATTGTTCCGCGTCGATATCGCACAACACGTCGTATATGCGCGTATGCTCATAGTATGCTAAGGCCGAGTCAGAATTTGCTGCGGTTTTGAGGCACATGGGCTAGGTCACCTACCGCTCATTGGACTCTGTAGGGCCGAGGTGGCGATGCTTCGCATGATGGACAAGTATTGCAATTCCTCGATGCTTCGGCACAGCGGGCCGAGATTCTCAAGGCTCCCCATGAAACCTCTGATTGCCTCGGCGTCGAAATACGGAATCGGCTTATCGAGGGGGACCACTTCGGTCAGCCTTCGAAGATACAATTCCTTTTCAAACGTTCGAAATCGTGACGACTCGTACTGTCCCATAGCATGTGTGCCGATGAGGTTACCTATATGACGGTCAGCTGAGGGCCAAAATTAAGCTTCTATGGCGACAAATCATACAACCACGAATCATGGTTAGAAAGTCGTTCAGTCCATCTCGCATTTGAGTAGCCTGAAAAGTAAGAACGAGAGCAGTCGCAAATGCGGCATCTGCATGCTCTCTCGATTGGCCAGCAGTCGAGATGAACTTCTTGAAACCTTCCAACGCAGTGACGCGGTGCTTCAGCGCCGCTTGTGTATAGCTGTTTGGTGTAATGATTGAGAGATGCGACGCGCCTAAACCGAGCATGGCGTGAAGCAAAAAATCGTACTATTTCTCCGATTAGAACTCGGCAAGTCGAGTGTGTCACACATTGCTTTCGCGTACCTCATGGGCCATCTGCGAGACCTCGCGCCAGATTTCCCAGCCGTCCAATGGCAGCGAAGGGTATGCAGAAAAGATAAAGTGCTGAAAGAAGCGCATATCGTGCATCGTGAACCACGACGGGTCACAGCTAAGAGATTTCGCCGGCGTTTGGCTGATGATCAGCGCCTTGAGCGGCTCCTCTCGCCGGGCCCGAACTTGAAGCTTATTCTCAAAGTAGAGGCAGTCATAGCCTAGCCGCCGGCACGCGCCGCAGGCTGGCGTGACCTCGTCGCACTTGACCTTGCGCTTCTTGCAGTTGGCGCATCCTCCCCGAGACTTTGTGTGACCTTTGCGCGGGATCGGGCGTCGCTTTGCCCGCGTCACAACAACGTCGGAGCATCCGGAGGACGACGATGGCGTGCCTGGCGACCCGGAGTCAGACGACATGTTCTGGATAGCCTATTGGACCGAATGTGGCGGCGACCCAGATGGTGAGACGTGTCGAGACGCTCTCGTGGTAACTCGTGCTGCTCCAACGTGCAGGCCAGGAATATATATGAGAGCGACTACTTTCAATTGCCGAAGTCGTACAATCCGTCTCGAGCGCCTTTACAATAAACCATGTAGGTTGAATGGGCATGGATAATTAATATGTCAAGAAGAAAAAGCCCCCTCGTCGGCTCTAAACTCAAAGTGGGCAATGGTGCGGCTGAGGTGTGCAAGGATTCCGCCGGCTAACTACTGGGTACTGGGTTAGTGTTAGCACTTCATAGGGCGCCAAAACGGATGACGCAGCCTTATGAAACATGAGCGTTGACAACGTCCCAATGGCACCAATTTCAGTCTGTTGTCAAAAAAAGTAACAATGTGGATCTATGCAAGCAATTTTAGGGCTTTTCGCTCAGACGATATTCGTCATGCTCCAGGGACGGATCGTTGCTTGCCCCATGAACTAAGCCGAAGCCCGCCAGTCGCATGCCGGCTAGTTCCATCTGCTTGCACAGCCTCACAGGAACCGGTCGGATTCAGGGGAGGACTTGTCATGATTAACGAACAAGGATAATTCTAATCCACTATTTACTTTTCCGTGGTATATTCCCGTCTAGAACTTATTCTTTAATCTCCGATCGTGACCCGTTTACCATTCATTGTCTTCTGACCCAGCGATGATGACATTATTAACCTTGAGCACCATGCGGCACAGTTGCGTAGCCAGCTGCAGCTGCTGCTTCTTGCCAATCAAAGGATCAATCACGAAAGCCTCCTTCATATCGTTGCTTCCGCGGCTCATGCAATCAACACCAAGCTTGCCTCGGCTTCCAGTACCAGCCTTGACCTGCTGGCTCTTGATCTCTGCCAGTGTCGAAATAGGATTGAGACCGCTGTTCTCAGCCAGAGCCATGGGGACGGCATCGAGAGCCTCGGCGAATGCGCGCATGGCGTACTGTTCCAGACCGGCTGTCTTGCCGGCAGCGTCCTCGACGGCGAGGGAGCAAGCGATTTCAGCAGCACCACCTCCGTAAACGACGCGGTTATCTCTGACCAAGTTGCGAACAACGCACAGAGCGTCATGTAGCGATCGCTTGGCTTCGTCGATAAGCTGGAAAATCATTAGCATCTAAATGTCGTGCTGACTGCGTCTCGGTCACGGTCGACTCACCATTTTGTTGCTGCCGCGCACGAAGACGGTGACGGCTCTTGTATTGGCGCATTCTTCAATGACCAGCATCTTCTCTCGCGTCGTGCCGAAAGTCATCTCTCGAACAATGCCCGCGTGACCCAACTTCTCTGCCTTGAGATCCTCGAATCGGGGAACGATGCGTCCGTTTGTGGCAATAGCAATGAGCTCCATTTCAGGACCACCAACCCAGCGAACGGCGGGAAGCTTGTTCTGCAGAAGTAAATGGTTGGCCTCGTCGTCGAATCCCCACTGGCAGATGGCAAGGTTGGCACCCGTATCCTTTATTTGTTGAATCATCTCAATAAACTTTTCTTTCTCGTAGTTCTGGAGCTTCTTGAATTCTTCTACGCTCGTAATGTCGAGATGGTGCTTGGTCTTGGGCTTCGGGGGCTCGAAAGCGCAGGTAAGAATGGCAATCTTGGCATCCTTGACTTCGGAGGGCATCTGGGGGTGAGAAAAGTCCTTGTCGATGATGACGCCCTTGACAAGAAGAGAGTCCTCGAGAGAGCCACCGACCTTGCCATCAACCTTGATCAGCTCAAAGTCGACGTCCTTGCGCTCCAAGTCAGCGACCGAAAGAACAGCGTCGACAGCAATGTTGGCGAATTGATCATGCGCTTTGGACACAATCTTGCTGCCAAGACTAGTGCGGGCAACCTTGACCAGGTTAGCCGTCTCGTCTTTTGTGAACTCAATCTTGTCGGAGATGTTGTCAAGCTCGGCAACTGCAATGTCACAGGCCTGGTCGTAGCCATCGGCGATTCGGATAGGGTGGATGCCCTTGTCGATGAGATCAGCGGCTTGCTCTAGCAAAGCACCAGCGAGGACGACTACACCAGTGGTGCCATCGCCAATCTCATCATCCTGTGACTTGGAAAGCTCAACAAGTAGCTTGGCGACGTGGTTGCTAATCTCCATCTGTTGCATGATCGTGGCGCCGTCGTTTGTGATCGTAATGTCGCCATCGGGCGAAATGAGAATCTTGTCGAGACCACGGGGGCCTAGAGAGGTCTTGACAATGTTGGCCACAGTTCGTGCGGCGAGAATGTGGGATTTAACGGCCTCGTTGCCGTATTGGCGCTTCTTCCTCCCCTGACTGCGAGATAGTTAGTAAAGCAGGCTCAATGAGCGGTGGGTAGCCACCTACTCTCTCACGACAATGAACGGACGGCCCTGCTCATCCTTCACCATCGTAGCTGAGGTCGAAGTTAGTTCTGTCGTCGGGCGCGCAAATGGCGGTGGTGGCTCTCACCGTTGCTCATATCCAGATCTGTGTGGGTTAGCTTCATTGTACCGGTCGAGCAGGCTGTGGGCAGACTCACTCAACGACATTTTGGCGGCGAATCGTCTTTGCGACGATTGTTGCTGAGAGATGGAGTTGAAAATATCTGGAACAGCCAAATTACGCACCAAGAGTTGGCAGTCGAGTATAGCTCCACGCTCTTCTACGCGAATCCGTAATTTTCGAGGAGCATGCCGTAGCCTACAACTAGCGGGACACGGCGAAATTAAAAGTCCGCTAAATTTGTTCACAGAACCCCTCGCTGGGGGTGCTTTGGTGGCGTGTGCCCCGCGCCAGTGGCGGGACGCCAGGCCCTACCCCTCCAGAGCCAAGCTCTGAACAAGCTGCAACAAGTACCGGTGGCATCATCATTCAATCTCAACGGTCACCGCCACGAACTATTCTGCTACTACGATTTTGTATATACTTCTTTCGGTCTATAACTCTTCCTTTCCGCCATTCCAGTCGTTCTGCATCCGAATTCCAGCTCTTACCGATCGATCGATCTCGTGACATCATACCGCAACATGGCTTCGTTTCAAGACGACGATTTTTATGACCCTTCTGAGGATGACTTTGAAGAAGAGGATGCGGATGGGATGACTCCTGAAGACAGGGTTGCCATGGCAAATGGTACTGAGGAGGTCAAAAAGGCACTCGGAGAAAACGCCAGCAAGGTGACCGTGGCGCAAATACAGGAAGCTCTCTGGCACTATTATTATGATGTGGAAAAGTCTGCAGGCTATCTGCAAAAGACATTCATTTCTCCAACTCCAAAACCTACCCCTAAAAAGGCGGCATCAGAAGGTACGTTGTTTTCGGCCTTTTCTTCCTCGTCAGCTGTGGCACATGGTGGCGCCACTGGAGCAGACCCGCGAGGAAGCGAATCTGGAGGATATCGTGCTGGGCAAGGTTCTTTTCAGAGATTGGCATTTCCCATCTTCAAGCCCCCCCATTTTCCTATGGATGCGTTTTTTTCAGACATGCCATGGCTTCGGACGCCTACCGACCGGCATGCCACCTTCATTGCTCCTTGCACACCGCCTGGAGGCTTGCTGGGAGGAAGTGATGGTGGCCCTAAAATGTCCAAACTTCAAGCTTTGGCTGCTGCCCGAAAGAAGAAGACGGAGCAGAAGAAGGAACAAGAAAATGAAATCCAGGCAGAGTCGGGATTACAAAAGTTGTCAATATCCTCTCAGAAGTCTTCCGGACAAGCACAAATACCACATACGTCAGCATCCTCTGCGCCAATACCGATGCGAAAGGGAACTTGTCTCGAATCAGAACCTTCACCTACACCAAATACTCCATTATCCAGCGCTACAGATGAACCATTGCATGGCATGGAAGCCCACGTCAATGTGGTCGATCAGCGCCCAACGCCGTCCGCGTTTGCGCAAACCTTGATTGGGTCTGCTCTAGGAGGTCGCAAACAGAACCAAGATGTTTTTGCCATGGCCTATGCGTCCTCACCGACATACCTCGCGTCTGCATTCTCCGAGCCCAGCCCAGATGACATTGTACTCGCAGCGCAGGCGAAAGGTTCGAACTTTGCAAGGGCAAAATAAAGGGCTAATTCTAATTCCTGTTAGCGGGTAAAAAAGCCACACCGGCTGTTAAGACTGCACCCAAGAAGAAGGCCGATGGCGCGGCAAAAACTGATACCAAGACGGATGACGTTACAAAGAAGGTCGCCGGATTAAAAGTCATCGATGTACCGCCACCAAAAACGAAGGGATTAGATGTTGTCAAAGAATACGAAAAGAGCGGTGCTAAGAAGAGCACTAGCTTCGTGGTTGTCGGTATGTCAAAGAACTGCTCCAAAAATTGAGCAATATTAACTGTCTCATTAGGTCATGTCGACGCCGGCAAGAGTACATTGATGGGCCGTCTACTTGTGGACTTAAAATATGTCGACCAAAGAACCGTCGACAAATACAAGAGACAAGCTGAGAAGAGCGGCAAACAGTCGTTCGCTCTAGCCTGGGTCATGGACCAGCGGAGTGAAGAGCGTGAGCGCGGAGTCACCATAGACATTGCTACCAACTATTTCGAAACCGATAAGACCAAGTACACCATTCTCGACGCCCCCGGGCACCGCGACTTTGTGCCCAATATGATTGCTGGCGCAAGTCAGGCAGACTTTGCTGTCCTGGTCATTGATGCCAATACTGGCGCTTATGAGAAGGGGCTGAAGGGCCAAACTCGAGAGCATATTCTGCTTTTGCGAAGTCTTGGACTGCAGCGTATTATTGTGGCAGTCAACAAGCTCGACATGGTGGGATGGTCAAAAGACCGGTTCGAAGATATTACCCAAGAGGTCACCGGCTTCTTGACTGGCCTGGGCTTTCAAGAAAAGAATGTCGACTTTGTCCCTATCTCGGGATTGGATGGTGAGAATATCGTCAAGGAAATCACGGCCCCCGCAGCCTCTTGGTATCAAGGTGGAACTTTGCTCGATGCTTTGGAGCGCTCCGAACCTACCACAATTCGAGCGCTCAAGAAGCCTTTCCGCATGGCCATTTCCGAGATTTTCCGCTCGCAGCAGCAGGGCACACTGACCTTGGCTGGTCGCATCGATTCGGGCACCATCCAGATTGGCGACTCGCTTGCGGTCCAGCCTAGCGGAGAGACGGCATACATCAAGTCGATTATGGTCGACACGTACGCACAGGATTGGGCAGTTGCGGGACAAAATGTCAGCATCGCGCTCACTGACATTGATCCCATTCACATCCGTGCGGGCGACATTCTGTGCCATGCAGCCAGTCCCATCCCTTGTGGCGATACCTTTACGATGAGAGCCATGGCATTTGAGCATCTGATGCCTATGCCAGTGGACCTCCATCGCGGCCGCCTACATTCTCCTGGCCAAATTCAGAGCATCGTTGCTTCGCTGGACAAGGCTACAGGGGATGTCATCAAGAAGAAGCCCAAGGTCGTTCAGCCTGGTGGGGTCGCCAGAGTAGTGATCAAGCTTAACGAGAAGGTTCCGTTGGAGGCAGGCCAAAGAGTGGTCATCAGAGGTGGTGGTGAGACTATCGCTGCGGGCTTACTAGAATAGATTTGACGAGTTTATGAAACATGCTTTCGACCACATTGCTCCTTCTGGATTGAAGTGGTCTGGTGCGCCGCTCAAAGAAATCTTTCAGTTTACCCTTTCCGGAGCGTATCACTAAGATCTTGCATGTTTGAGTGCTACCAGAGACAAAGAAGCCTGCGCCACCACTGCAAAGTCGGGGTGATACGAAAGATAATGCCACCTTACCGTCTGCATGAGATGTAAGGTATGGTGTGACTTTGTGGCATTTGAACCTATCATAAGAGTACAGCGCCACGGTCCTCGACCTGAGTCTTGACGGAACGGACAATCTGTCGGCCGGCCGATGACCAATCCACGGAAATTCGCTTTAACAGCAGCCTTGGAGAGATAGTTAGAGGACCGCCACAGTGTGCCTGACAGCATAACCGTCGGCCTCACCCGCTTGCCTTATCAGTAGGTGGCTTTTGCGATTGGTGGTTCTGGCACCGGTGTCCCCGTCAATTCACAGCATGGCTGCTCAAAGAACCTTCCGGACGTTTTGGGGTTAGTTGGTTGGGGTAGCGCGACGGAGACCCCTGGCACTAGTTGGCCATCTGGCCTCTGCGGACACACTGGCTGCCTGCGTGGCAATTCGCTTGATGGTGATGACTTCATGGGTATTAATATGCGAGAAAAGACTACGGCAAAGCATTGTTCATCACGCCATGAGTCACGGTGGAGGGGCAGAAGCTCATGGAACGTGTCGCTGACCAAAGGGACAGATTGCGATGATGGGTGGCGGGCGATGAGGCCAACTGAGCCAGCGGTGGAGCCGCCACTTCTTTCACGGACTACGCGAGGGGCTGGCACTGTGCGGATACTGTGCGGATGGAGACTGCAAGAAACGCAGGCAAACTCTGAACTTGGCTCGACGCTGCAGCCGAATCGTACCTTGTCCCTTGAAAACGTGGCTTCCACGTTCGTTTGCTAGAAACATGCGTAATTTTAATATCAATGACGCGTATCTTGACTATCAGCCTTGTGATGGAAGTCTCCTGATGCTGAGGTGGCTCAAAGTATTGATGATGTCAAGTTCAAGAACATGCCGTGCAGGGGCAACGTTCTGCACCTCCGAGTTCTCGTTGACTGGACCCGCATTATGCTCATCGAGGTTGGAATCATCATTCAGTATCTCGCAAATGGAATGAAGTCGAAGTTGTATTACTGATAATGCTTCCTGGAGCTAACGTCCTGAGCATCTTCTGCAGGTGAAGCTTGACGTCACAGAGAATCTCAAATCGAGGTTTTCATCACCTCTGCGGCAACTCGTCAGTGATGTTTGTCTTGAATTCAACCTTTGGATTCTTGCACAGTCTTTTCTCTGTAAAATGCTGCCCTACCAGACATATACATGTATGCATCCACGACGGTCTTTCCTGCAATGATTGCTTGGGGCGTCTTCTGCAAAACCCATCATTCATTCATCAGAAAATAGGATTACGCCCTTGACCTTATCTCGCAGCGTACTTTGAGTTTGGTACAAGTGCTCTCGGCCGATATGTTTGTAAATGGTGCGGCGTACCCGTATCCTCCTCAGTAGGGATGCAGGCCTTTGCAGGGTCGCGCCAGAAACTGTTGCAATTGCTAGTGAACTTCTATTGTTCTACCGGGGGCGACGATCCAAAATAGATATAATGAATGGGCCGCAATTAGCATGTATCAAAATTTGTGGCCTCGATTCGGATGCCGCGAGGGCTCTCAACCGCGATCGGTGTAAGTGGTGCTGCTGTGAGATATGAATCATCATGAAAACGGCCACCCCGAGAAAAGAATGAATTGAATATAAAAGATCAGCATTCATCAGTTCATAATACTCAAGTAATATCACAAATCTTCATATACAAACACTTGCGGAATGTTCATCAACGCCATCACCAAAGTCGCCATTCTGGTCCTCGCCGCTGTTGGCGTCATCTCTGCCGTTCCGCTAGAGGTACGAGACCACGAGGACTTTGAGTACAAAATGCTGCAGGCTAGCAATTGGTACCGGTCGCAGCACGGCGCCAACGCTCTGTCGTGGGACCAAGGCCTAGCAGACTACGCCGCCAACCACGCTAGCTATTGCACCAGAAACCACTCGGTACGCATACAACTCACATCACAATTTACTATCCATCATCACTTCCTGAGCTTCGCGGTGCTAATACTGAATCTCTCTCACTGCAGGGCGGTCCTTATGGCGAAAACATGGTCTTTGGGGACTGGTCTTCCACGGCCGGCTGGGTGAACAGCTTCGGCCACGAGCGCGTCCAATTTGACTTTGAAAACGGCGGCACCGACCCGGCCACGGGCCACTTTACCCAGCTCGTCTGGAAAGCCACCAGCGCGATGGGCTGCGGCTGGGCCAAGTGCGGCGATACGTACCACGTTATCTGCGAGTATCAGAACCGCGGCAACGTGGTGGGTGAAAGCAACCGCTACTTCCGCGAGAATGTTGGCTTCCAGACCTGGGGTAGCATAGACGACCAATTCGATGGCTAGACGCAAGGCTGAGCTCATCGGGCTTATCCTCACTGCTGGGTCGTTGTGACGGCTTGGCATTTTCACGACTTGGCTATACATATTTGGCAATGTTGTATATGCTGTCTCTTCTGTATATATGTACTGATAGAACTCAATAGAATACGCGTGTGTATACGTACAGTGCTTAGCCAAACATTTGTTGGCTTTGAAACTGCAGCTGCACAAAATACTTTCGATTTAGAGACGACTGTTGCCTTTGCAATTTTTGTTACTTGAAGAATCCACCTTGCAGACCAAAATATTTGAATGTGAAACTGCAAGTTTTACCTGATTGTGCATGCAAGAAGGATGTGGCCATGTATGTCGTCTGCCATGAAAACAGGTGTCATTTCCTTCATTGCACTGTAAGCGCCAGCACAGTGCGAGACAGAGTCACCAACACCCCACAAGCAACCCCCTGTCACGTGGGGGCATTACCCAGAGTGGCCACTGGCTAGCGGCTTCTGGTACCTTACAGGTGCAATCTGGCCTTTTTGTGCCATCTGGACACCTCGACACTTTTTGGGGCAAGCGCTCATAAAGCCGGCTCGGCGTCACCACCTTTTTTTCCACCTTCAATCTCCATCTCCATCACCATCACCAACCATTGAATCCAGGGTGAAGCTGCCACCTCAAGGATTGGGAATTGGACTGTCTGTTTATTTTTATTTCAGTTCTTCTTCTACATAATCTTCACATCTCGGAGTGAAGCTCACATTTTTCACAATGGCTCGCTCCCGTAGTTCGATGGCCCTTGGCCTCGGACTCCTGGCTTGGATCGCGCTCCTTTTTGCGCCCCTCGCCTTCGTCCAGACTGTGAACGCTGAGGTCTCTGACCGCGACGATTATGGCACTGTCATTGGTATTGTAAGTGTTCCTCCGCAACGCCCTTGCCGACGGCTGGCGCCCTGCGCTCCCGTGGCCTCTGTGGAGCTTGATGGCTAACAGCTCCCAGGATCTGGGTACTACGTACTCTTGCGTCGGTGTGATGCAGGGTGGCAAGGTCGAAATTCTCGTCAACGATCAAGGAAACCGTATCACTCCCTCTTACGTCGCCTTCACCGATGAGGAGCGTCTGGTTGGTGATTCCGCCAAGAACCAGGCCGCCTCCAACCCCTTCAACACCATCTTCGACGTCAAGTAAGCGCTTTCCTCATCCATGACTCCTCTAGCATTCAGTCACTAACCGCTCCGTAGGCGTCTCATCGGTCGCAAGTTCAGCGAAAAGGATGTCCAGTCCGATATGAAGCACTTCCCCTACAAGGTCGTCTCCAAGGATGGCAAGCCCAACGTCCAGGTCGAAGTCGAGGGCAAGAAGAAGCAGTTCACTCCCGAGGAGATCTCTGCCATGATTCTTGGCAAGATGAAGGAGGTCGCTGAGTCTTACCTCGGTAAGAAGGTCACTCACGCCGTCGTCACCGTCCCCGCCTACTTCAACGTAAGTTTGTCGCCGAAAAATGCTTCATCTGTTAAGACTGCTAACCCTCTCCGCAGGACAATCAGCGCCAGGCTACCAAGGACGCCGGTATTATCGCCGGTCTCAACGTTCTCCGAATCGTCAACGAGCCCACCGCCGCCGCCATCGCCTATGGTCTGGACAAGAGCGACGGTGAGCGCCAGATCATTGTCTACGATCTCGGTGGTGGTACTTTTGATGTCTCTCTCTTGTCTATCGACGATGGTGTCTTTGAGGTCCTTGCCACCGCCGGTGACACCCATCTTGGTGGTGAGGATTTCGACCAGCGCGTCATCAACTTCTTCGCCAAATCCTACAACAAGAAGAACAATGTTGACATCACCAAGGACGCCAAAGCCATGGGTAAGCTCAAGCGTGAGGCTGAAAAGGCCAAGCGTACTCTGTCTTCGCAGATGAGCACCCGCATCGAGATTGAGGCTTTCTTCGAGGGCAACGACTTCTCCGAGACTCTGACTCGCGCCAAGTTCGAGGAGCTTAACATGGATCTCTTCAAGAAGACCATTAAGCCCGTTGAGCAGGTTCTCAAGGACGCCAACGTCAAGAAGTCCGAGATTGACGACATTGTCCTAGTCGGTGGCTCTACCCGTATCCCCAAGGTTCAGTCTCTCATTGAGGAGTACTTTGGCGGCAAGAAGGCTTCCAAGGGTATCAACCCCGATGAGGCCGTGGCCTTTGGCGCGGCCGTCCAGGCCGGTGTTTTGTCTGGCGAGGTCGGAACTGAAGGTCTTGTTCTCATGGATGTCAACCCCCTTACTCTTGGTATCGAGACCACCGGCGGCGTCATGACCAAACTGATTCCCCGCAACACTCCTATTCCTACCCGCAAGAGCCAGATTTTCTCGACTGCCGCTGATAACCAGCCCGTCGTTCTCATCCAGGTCTTGGAGGGTGAGCGCTCCTTGACCAAGGATAATAACATTCTCGGCAAGTTCGAGCTTACCGGCATTCCTCCCGCTCCCCGTGGTGTTCCTCAGATCGAGGTCTCTTTCGAGCTTGACGCCAACGGTATTCTCAAGGTCTCTGCCCACGACAAGGGCACTGGCAAGCAGGAGTCCATCACCATCACCAACGACAAGGGCCGTCTCACCCCTGAGGAGATTGAACGCATGGTTGCCGAGGCTGAGAAGTACGCCGAGGAGGACAAGGCTACTCGTGAGCGCATTGAGGCCCGTAATGGTCTTGAGAACTACGCTTTCAGCCTGAAGAACCAGGTCAATGATGAGGACGGTCTTGGCGGCAAGATTGACGACGAGGACAAGGAGGCCATCATCGACGCCGTTAAGGAGACTCAGGAGTGGCTTGACGAGAATGGCGCCGATGCCACCGCTGAGGACTTTGAGGAGCAGAAGGAGAAGCTCTCCAACGTCGCTTACCCCATCACTTCCAAGATGTATGCTGGCGGCGCTCCTGGCGAGGGAGAGGACGCCGACTTCCACGACGAGCTGTAATTACATAGATGATTGACTGATGAGCTTTAGAGTGGTGTTTGTGTTTTCGGACTACGGCGTGAAAACGGCACATGATTTTTGAATTGCCTGCGCCTTATATTGTAACAGTAGACACAAAATGGAACTAAAAAAAGGTCACAAGCAAGGAGTCCGCTTTATCGTGCATGTTGAATCTCAAGTGAACTTGGCTACGAGAAGCGCTAGGGAGAGTGCCGTTTGCTGGCGGCTGGCAGCTGGCAGCGTTTGCTTGCAAGGTGAGCCTCACGCTCGCCGTCATGAGCTTCACTTTTCTCACGGATTCGCGTTACTTATGCACCTTTCCTTTCCGTCTTTCCTATGCATCTTTCCTTTACTTCTTTCCTTTACATCTTTCCTTTCTAACATCTGCTTCCGCAGTTTACAACTGCTCCAATTTGAGCTCCAATTTGAGCTCCAATTTGAGCTCCAATTTGACCATGAAGAGACCAGCTTCCGCGGAGCAACTCACCCCAAAGAGACGCCGCAAGTCGCGAGGTTACGGCACCGCCTCGCCTTCGTCGCGCCAGGGCCCGCCCGTGCCCGGCATCTCAATGAATGAAGCCAAGGCATCCTCGCAGACTTTGCAAAAGGCGCTCCAGAGCCACAAGATGAAGCCTAGCGGAGTACCCTCCCTTATCACGAACGCCAAGGCACTGGAGTCGGACGCTCCGGTGCTTGCGACGCCGCCGGCCACCAGTCCTACAGAGAACCTGAAAAGCGTCATCCAGAAGATTCCTGCCTCCTCGGATTTAGTCGACATGGACATGAGCACCGGTGATGCTCCGGACGTGGCCATCTGCGAAGTGATGACTGCGGCGATGCTCGATGCCATGCTAGGGGTGGAGTGGGAGAAAGAAGAGCACAAAGGAGTAGGCGACGATGCAGAGCCTGCTTTAGAAAAGAATGCAGAGCCTGCTTCGGAAAAGAATGCAGAGCCTGCTTCGGAAAAGAATGCAGAAAGCGACGGAACCCTGGCACAGGCACTTAGCCACGATAGCGTGCCAGGAAATAGCCAAAAGCCAGAGACGGGACTCGACGACGCTGGGAACAAGGACGTCGAAATCATTACAGCACCGCGTCAGGGTAGCGGCTCATCCCCGGAAGATGCCATGATCGTCGACTCCAGTCCTTGCAAGCAGCTCAAGCACGAGCACCAGCTCAGCCAGCTCGTCGCCGACGCCGACACCGGCGGCAGCCACTCCTGCACCACGCCCGGCACCGTCGTGACCACGGAGTGGCTCCTTGAGAAGCTCAACACCCTCACCCCGTCCACGCTCTCTTCAGACCTCGCCGCCATCATCCAGGAGCTGCGCGACCTGGAAGCCGGTCTCGCGCGGCTCCCCCGTACGACCCTCGACCACCCGCCGGTGCACCTCCGTCGCAACGGCCCGGCCGAGCGCCTGAAGCTGGTCGAAAAGCTCATCGGACCGCAGTTATCGCAGATTCCCGCTCGCACCTGGCGTACCTACAAGTTGAAGCTGTTGCGGCTATGTAAAAGCCCCGCCGTGCACAACATGGATTTCAGGCAGCGGCTGGATATGGTCAAGGAGGTCGTGTACCTGCCCGAGGAGGTGGAGCTGCTGCGGCGCGGAAATGCAGAGAGGATGGGATGGGCGGTGCGAGTGTGCGCGACGGTGACGGAGATTTTGGGTCCTGAGGAGGAGCAGGTGCCCGAGGAGATGCCAGCGTGGGTGGCGGCGCAGCTACAGGAAGTGGCGTGGAAGGCGAAAATCACGACGGCATGGCGCAAGTACTGGCCGGAACCGGAGGAGATGGTGATAGATTGAGGGGATGGCGATTCAAGCAAGTTGCTTCATCGACGCGTGGCGACTGCTTTTTAAAACTGACTCACGATTTCACGTTGTCAGGGGCATCGAATTGGCTGGATTGCTCTATTGCTTTGACAAAAAAATGATGACATGCGACTAAGGAAGGACGTGGCACTTACATGGTATCAAAGTTGGTTCTGGTGCCCTTGGACAATTTATAGGATAGCGTCAGCCACAACACAGAAGTGAGCAAATCAATGATATTCAACAAGTTATTCATCCCATTCAGTCATGACCTGTACCCTAACACTCGTTTTCTTAACCAACAAGCGATGATATTGAATGAAAACGCTGGCATGCAGGGTACGTCAAAGTCACGTGCACACGCGCAACATCCGACGCGGGTCGGCGCGACTTTGAGTCTGATTCCATGACGTTTGTCAGCCGATGACGACAAGACGCGCGACACCCGCCCCCCCCCTTCGCACATTCCGCAACGGCCGTTGGCAAGAAATTTAATAGACCACTAAATAATTGGACGCCGCAATTACTCAAACTTCTCGATTTTCGTCTATATTTGTACACCTTTGGTTTTTTTTCTTCTTCTGCAAATATGCCTGTTCGCAAGCATGTGACCGAGGACACCGGCGGCGCCGTTGCCGGGACCTCGCGGCGCCGGTCCGGCCGAATTTCTAGCGCGCCAAAGAAGAGCTCATACTGGGAAAGCGCAGACGATGAGAGCGATGACGAGAAGCCGGTGAAGAAAAAGGCCAAGGTGAAGAATAGTGGCAGCCGCGTAAAGCAGAAGCAAGACAGCGACGAGGATGAGTATACGGCAGAGGCGCAGCTAGCAGCAGAGGCAGAGGAGGAGGAAGAAGAGGAAGAGGAAGAGGACGAGGAAGAGGATGATGAGAATAGGAAAATGAAGGTCACTATTGTGCCGTTGGAGAAGCTGAGAGATGATGGGGGCGTGCCGTACGAGGATCACAAAGTGCATAGGAACACGCTACTGTTTCTCAAGGATCTCAAGGCCAACAATCGACGGCCATGGCTGAAATGCAAGTTCTTTTCCACCTTTTGAATGCTGAAATAAGCCAGAAAAAAAGGGACTCAACGCTGACCATTCCACACAGCCCATGACGGCGAGTACCGGCGCGCCTTCAAAGACTGGACCACCTTTGTCGACCTCACCACCCAGACCGTCTCCGACGCCGACGCCACCATCCCCGAGCTGCCCTCCAAGGACGTCGTCTTTCGCATCTACCGCGACACGCGCTTCAGCAAGGACCCCACGCCCTACAAGCCGCACTTTTCCGTCGCCTGGTCGCGCACCGGCCGCAAGGGGCCCTACGCCTGCTACTATGTCCATCTCGAACCGGGACGCGGAAAGTCGTTTATTGGCGGCGGGCTGTGGCATCCGGAAGCGGCGCACGTGCAAAAGATGAGGAGGAGCATTGACCGGCATCCGGAGCGGTGGCGGGCGGTGCTGGGGGAGGAACGGTTTCGGAGGGTGTTTTTTCCCGGGGTGGTGGACGGGAAAAAGGGCGTGGAGGCGGTGGTGAAGGCGTTTGTGGGAAAGAATCAGATGAATGCGCTGAAAAAGAAGCCAATGGTGAGTTTTTCTTCTTCTTCTTCTTCTTCTTCTTCTTCTTCTTCTTCTTCTTTCTTCTTTTTAGATCAATAGCCGTGTTTATAGTTGGTATTTTTCTTCTTCTACGCTTGTGCTGACGATTGTGAAAAGGGATACGATGCAACGCATCGCGACATTGAGTTGCTCAAGCTCAAGAACTATACCGTCGGTATACCGTTTGACGAGGAGATGCTGTGCAAGGACAATGTGCAGGAGGTAATCGGCGAGTACATTCGTGCCATGGAGGGATATGTAAGTCGTGAGGGAGAAGAAAGAAGACGGGTGGAGAGGTACAAAAAAAAAAGCTAATGAAATGTAGATTACGTTTGTTAATAGCATCGTCATGCCGGATCCTGGTCTCGACGAAAGCGATAGTGACGACGATGACGACGACGACGACGACGACGAAGATGAAGACGAGGCAGAAAACGAGAACGAACCATGATTCGATTGAGCATGCTTTAAGCCAAAGCAGTTGAATTCGCATTTCTAAGTACGATGCTGTAGATTTCATCATGTACATATAAACATTCAATAAACGCAAAACGGCGCGACAGCCCCTTCCAAACCGTAACATCCGCTACGCACAGCCGCAGACGTCAAACTGCGCCACGCTCGGGTCATGGTCGCTGACCTGGCCGTCCGCGTCCTGCCAGGTGTTGACGTGGAGATGCTCAAACTTTGCGCGGCGGCCGAGCGCCCTGCTGGCGTACATGTGGTCGAGGGACTGGCAGTTCATGTCAAAGAGGTAGGTGTAGCGCTCGGCGGGCGGGGTGCCGACCAAGTCGTCCACGTTGACGAGGCCCGACTTGTCGGCAAAGACGCGCATGGGCTGGACTTGCGCAAACTCGTTGAAGTCGCCGGCGGAAATGACGCGCGCCTTGGGATCCTTGGCGAGGATCTCGGCGATAAAGGCCTGTCTGGATTAGCATTACGTTGATTCAAGTGCTGGGAGGGGCTGTTGTTCAACATACCGCGGCAGCCTCGTTTTGGCTGGTGCGCTTCTCGACGCCCTTGTTGACGGGCGGGCGCTGGTCGCCGTGTAGGGTCGACGAGCCGCCCTTGCTGCCCATGTGCACGTTGACGGTGAAGAATACCTTGCCGCCCTTCTTGGCCTTCCACTGCGCGGCGAGCGGCTTGCGGCTGTTGGCGTAGGCCGGGTTGCTGGGGTCGATGCGGCCCGGGTTGTACTTGAGCGCGGGCCCGTCGAGGACGGCGTTGGCGTCGGTGCTGCCGCCCCGGTTGGGCTGGAAGAGGTCGAGGACGTCGACGCGGTAGAGGTACGCTTGCCGGATGTTGCCGCCGGGCTGGCCGCCGTCTTGGTTGTTGACGGGGTCGACGTCGGTGAAGTTGTAGGCCACGCCCGACTCCTGGAGCAGCGCGTCGGCGAGCGTGCCGAGGGTGAGGCTGGCGGATACGACGCCGTCGTTGGTGGGTCCTGAGTTGTCCTGGATCTCTTGCAGGAAGATCAGGTCGGGAAGGCGCAGCTTGTGGACGATCTGGTCGACGACGCGGGGCAGATGAGCTGAGGTCGGGGCCAGGTTCTCGGCGTTGTACGAGGCGACGGTGATGCCGCTGCAGTCGCCGGTGCTGTTGAAGGCGACGGGAGGGAACTCGGCGTTGGCTTCGACGATGGGACGCACGGCAGTCAGCGGCAGCAGGCGGTAAAAGCCAAAGGCGTTGTAGACGACACCGGTCACGTCGCCGAGATAATCACCGAGCTTGGTGTTGTTGGGGTTCTGGGAGCCATCGAGAGGCGCGCCAATGATGATGGTCTCGGGGTTGGCATCTAATGTAGGTCAGAAGACAATTCGCATAACTGAAGAGCACTCGTGACATTCTAACCCCCTTCAAGCATGGTGATGCCGCCGTGGGCATTGACACCGGTGGCGGTCCAGTCGCCGCGCACCCAGACGTCGCCGAAGCGGTTGGGTCGGCTGGTCTGGTAGGCGCCTCTGACGGTGACGAGCTCGCCGAGCAGGCTCTGCCAAAAGTCGAGGCCGTAGCTGGCCGGGTCGAGGGTGGGGTTGGACTCGGAGACGAGGTTGACGGCGTTGGGCACGCCAAAGATGCCGCCGACGTCGAGGCCCGAGTAGTCTTGCGTCGGGGGCGAGAGCGTGTCGACGGCAATGACTAGCGGCTTGACCGGGTTGCCGCTGGAGCGGACGACGACGTTGGTGGGACGGCTGAGCTCGGTGAGCTGAATGTAGTTATTGTTGGATCTGGACATTCATCTTTTCATCAACATGTGCACTGCGTTCTGTGTTGGTGGATATCCTGCCCTCACCTGTACATCTCAACACGGCCGTTGAGTGAGATGACATCGCCGACATTGACGCTGCCGAGAATGCTGTTTCCAAAGACGTAGAGACCCTCCGAGGTGCGCGCGTCGCCGTCTGGCTGCAGCGAGCGCAGCCAGATGCCATTGTTGTTGGCCGCGGTGACGAGGCCGGTGACGTTGGAAACGTTTTGGCCGCTGAGCGGTGACACGAACCGGTTGCCGTTGATCTCGGCAATGGTGGTGGCGGTAGTCACGGAGGCGGCAGCCAGCACCGCGCCGAAAAAGCGACCCAGGATCGCGGGCTTCATTTGTCTGACTTAAGACAACGTACAATGGCGGCTGATATGGAGCAGTCTCAGCGACAAGCAGCTATGGTGCAGCTGGTGAGCTACTTGTATGCTTGGCGATGCTACGCTCCGTCCCCTCTGGCTCACCGAAGGATCAAAAACTGATTTAGCCGTGACTACTGTTCAGCTGCGCAGCTGGGGTTGCATCGCTCTAATCGACTACTACGGACCAGGCCGCCCTCGTGCAGTTCCTGATGGCGTTATCTTTTTTCTTTTTTCTTCTTTCTTGGCGCGGGACGGACGAGAAACGTGGGCTCGGCCAGCTCTCTCAGGGACGGCCGTCTTGCCTGAGCCATCTGCACTGACAAAGCTTACGGGCTAGGCCGTTTGTGTTTTGCAAGCGAATGGGTCAAGCCATGCTATGCTGTCAGAGAGGTGCACCACCGAGTTGTCGACATGCCAGCACCGAGCTTGGTGGCACGCAGCCTGATCTCTCATCGATCTATCTGGTTTTGGAATTGTCGGCGTTTTGTCTCAGACTCTTGGGAGGATGCGACATGCAACGATCGGTGCCGTGTCGACGATGAGCGGGAAAACGGAAAAGAAAAGACGGAAGAGGGGAGAACAGGGACGTCGGTATGCTTAATTTAGCGGGGCTTCTTGATATAGCGGGGGGCTGCTTGAGATGGCGGGTTTGTTAGCTGGTGGCTGGTTATAGCGGCCAAAATTGCCGCCAAGAGCAGCGGACCCTGCCAAAAAGAACTGCCAAGCCTCTGGGTCCAGGCCGCAATTGTCCGTCCCATGACATGCCTGTATTGCTTCACGTGTTGTAACTAGAACCTGTTACCTCAGGCTCATATAATATCTGATTTATTTAGTAAGCGCAGAATTTATGTCAATATTGAGTTTGCATAATACAATGTGCACAAATACATATATGCATACTTTAATTCCTGCTCCCCTACCACAGTCGCTTGGCAACTTCCGTTGTCCACGGAAAACGCCAAGTCTCCGTACGCCGACTTCTTCAATTTGTTGTGTCATTTCTGCTCTCATAATTGGTCCATCCGCCCCTCTACCGGCCTGTCAAAGTAACCTCGATTACGATCTTTCTCAGGGATTAATTAGAGTGCAGCCAGCCGAGCCGGGCAGCACAACACGCCACTGCCGGTCAATGGTGCACTTGCGACGTTGCCGCATCTCACGCAGGAATCCTTTTTTTTCCCATTCCATCTACCATGGTGTGCTGCCGACAACGCTCACGGTCATTTCCGTTTCTTAAAATCGTTTTTATGTTATTCGGATTGCTCTGGCTATACAAGGTGAGAGACGAAGAGACAAAAGTTGCGGGTTCCTTGGCTACCCACTTGACGGCTTACACGGCAAGTATCGGGACAAGGAGTTTGAAAAAGCCAGGCATGCTCATCATCAGTCTGAATTTACCCGGCAGCATACAAAAAGTAAAAAAAAAAAAGAAAAAAAAAAAAGGAATACCACATTGTCCGTTTCTGCTGGGTTTCGACATGATCTTTTCTCCATCTCCAACTTCGGGGTGGGCTAGTCGTTGACTCGTTTCGCTGCCAGGCCCCTCCCTGACTGACCGGCTTGCCCGCGACGTTACCGCGCAAAGGCGGCAGCAACACCGAATACGGACGGCCAAGACCAATCCAAACAGCTGATATTGGAATTGCATATCCTATGCCGACGACGGGCCGTCAGCGACAAGGAAAAAAGCTAGTGGATAAAGGGGTCTCCTCCAGCTTTTTTTCGCTGTATCGTGTGACCCGGACCAAAGCGGGTATAGCCCAGATCTGGCCCTCGCGTCTCGGCCCATCTTACATGTCATGACCCGACCCATCGGAGCGGTGACCGTGGGACGAAGGGACGAACCCCGAATGTTACGAATAGCATTATGCTTCCCCATTCGGCCGCCGGAGAAGCAGCTACTCAGCCAATTATCAGCCCAAGCGCCTCCACTCGAGCTTATTATGCGATTGCCGCGGCAATGGCAACCTCACCACGGCTTGCACCTCACCCAAGTTTGCTTTGCGTAACTCTAGTTAGAATGAGGCCGTCGACTGAACAATGTCACATTCTATTCGACAACATGTCTCATATTGACCCGTCGTTCTCGGCCTGTTGTGTCTCGGCAAACGAGGTTCCTGTCCGAGACACGCCCAAGTCACCAAGTCGGTCGACTTGGGCCGCAAGCTCCCACCTAATCCATAGCACGCAGTTTCGTTATTTATATTGCCCTGCTCCCAGCATATACGATTTTTAACAGAAGACAGCAACCTCTTTCATTTATCATCTCGTCTTCTTCTGAAGCGGGCTTGTCGTGGTCTCATTCTACCCTTCTTTTGAAGCCGCCTTCTTGCTTACACCTGATCTCATTCTACCTCTTCATTGAAGCCGGCCATCTCACTCACACCTACTCCATCACAGCCCTCGTCATCACACTCGTCACCATGAAGTTCCTCACCACCCTCACCCTCACCCTCCCCTCCCTCGTCGTCTCCTCCGCCATCAACGGCCTCCCCGACGCCAGCACCGGTGCCATCCCCGCCACGTCTCTAGACAGACGCGCCGGTAGCTGCCTCTGCCACGGCGCCACCGCCGCCGCCGAAGGCGCCGATTTTCTCTGCGGCGACAAGCGCCTCGGCCCCAAGCAGCTCCCTACCAAGCTGCCCCTCGGCAGCTTCGTCGCCAGCTACAACCGCCTTGGCAGCGACGACATCACCGTCGACCAGTTCCTCGCCGCCTGGACCGGGCCCGACGGCCGCTACCGGTACCCCCCGCAGAATGGCTTCACGCTCGACGTCCACGGCAATGCCATCAACGGGACCTTGACGCTGGGAGTTGGCACTCTGATTGACCGTTTTGGTAGTGAATATGGTACGTTTCCCCTCCTCAGCCCCCGCTTCTTCCTCCTCCTCCTTCTTCCTTCTTCTACCTCTTCTGCTTCTATTTTCCCTTTGACTTTATCTCAGCTTGGACTTGAACTGCACTGACACAACCATGACAGGTTCATACGTTTCCGCCGCGAGCGCTCCCTTTTCGCAGCGTTCCCTGCCCCCGTCCAGCCTCGACGCGGACCCCAAGAATCCCGACTTCCCGTACGGATACCACCTGTACAAGGTCGTCCGCCCGTTTGCCGTCGTCGGCGGGCCGATTGCCCCGTGGTTTGGCCAGCCCGGCCTAGGCGCGCAGTTTTACACTGGCGATCTGGGCAACATCATGAAGTTGATTGAAGGCGGCTACATTGAGCGCCAGGACCCGAGCATCCTGGTGACGCAGTCCCAGGGCGCCTGCACACAGTCTGGGTAGATTTGTTGTTGTAGTTGTCAGCGTAATGAAAAAAAAAAGGTCGTCGAATGAGGGAGTTTGGATGCTGGTGTGGCAATCTTGATGTGTTATAACGAGATGATGAATCCAATCTACACTTAATCAACACACACATATCTTGGAGATTAAACAAACTCAATACCCAAAGTCTTCCCAGACTACATCCTCTCCGTGCAGCCATCCCTGCAGCAATCTGAGCAGCGACGGTCCCGCGCACAGATAAAATCTCGTTCCTTGTCCCCCGAGCCCCTTTACATCCACCTCTGCCATCCTCCTCTGCTGCACCCCCTTGACCCCCAGCCGACGCCGCAGCTCACCCTCCTCCTCTCCATCACTGCCGCTCGAGAAAAACACCGTCGTCACGGCCGCCAGCCCCTCGATCCGCGCAAACGTGTCCTCTGCTAGAGGCAGGTCCTCGCCGCGTAGACTCCACAGCAGCGTCAGCGGCACGCCGGCGTCGAGCACGGCGCGCGCCTGAGCCAGCAGCGGCGTGATGCCCACACCACCCGCCACAAATACTGACCGCAGCTGCGGCGTATCCGCTGCGGCGGTGGTGGTGGTGGTGGGGAGACGAAACGATTCCTGGCCGCCAAAGCCTAAAACGGGAATCGCGAGCGGCGCGCGCAGGTTCTGCCGCCAGAGGAGGCCCGTCGCGGGGCCGCCACTTCTCCGTGCCGTGATTTGCAGCTCAATACTCTTTTCTGCCGCTGCCGTGTCCGGCGGCGGCGGATTCGAGACTGTAAACGTGCGCACAAAATCATCATTCAGGCTCTGCGGATCGTCATCCCGCATGTGCGCGTACCCATGATCCAGTTCATTGCCAAAATCCAGCGTGACATGCTGCCCAGCGTGCCACTTCATCTTCTCCCTCTCCCCACCCAGCCTAAAAGTGAACCTTGCCACCGTCGGCGACAGCACCTCCCTGTCCACCAGCGTCGCCGTCACGTCTGGCCGGTCGGTGAATTTACTTGGCACCGCGTCCCGCTCCGTAAACAGGTGCCGCAGGGGCGGGTTGTACGGGGACCGCTCCAGGTCGGTGCCGCGAAACGGCAGACCGCGCCGGACAAAGCGCGCGGCGGTGATTGTGACTTGCACGGCGAGGGGCGTGCGCGGCAAGAGGGCGGCGGCGGCGGGGCCGACGAGGATGGAGGCGCTGCCTGAGAGGTACAGCACGTCGGACGAGGCAAAGTCGGGCACGACGATGCCGACGAGTGGGTTGACCTTGAGGTTGCCAAGAGTCTGGTACAGCCGGTTTCCTGAATCTGCATGGTGAATACAGTGTTAGCATTTTCCTTCATCTAGCATGTAGTTTGTAAGAGGACCACTTACACTCTGGGTAGACGAGGACAGCCTCATCGGCCTCATTCTTCAGCACGCGCACAAAGCCCGGCGGGCCGCCCCGATGGTTCGTGTCCATGGACGCGCCATGAGTGCTCGACAGGAAGAACATGTCCGCCTCGTCCAGCAGCTCGATCGCCTGTTCCGGCAACATCCGTCCTTGCCCCCCCTCCACCACCTCGATGTCCTCCCCGTACGCTCTCAGCTGCACCCGCTTTCTGTTCAAATACTTGGGACAGTTGCCCAAGCTCTCAGTCACCAGAAATGCCATCTGCAACTTATTATCCTTCACGTCCGCCGATCCCGCCACCATGGCACCCATGAGCTTGACGCGGTCTCTGCTTTCCAGGTCCAGCGCCAGTGCCGCCATCATCTTGCCCGCACCATCATTCGGCTGCACCACGCCACCACGAGCCGCTTGTTCTTCTTCTCCCCAGAGGGCCTGGTACACGGGATCATGCGCCGTATCGACCGAGCTGTTCAGCCCCAGCACGCCGGGAGCGATGAGCTCGGCGAAGCCCCGAGCGCCGCCCCAGAGCGTCGTCCATGGCCGCCCCTGCGCGTCGAGCGTGCCAACGGCCGCGAGCGGAGATGTAGCCACGCGCACGGCATAGTGCAGCGGCAGGCCGGCGGCAGTAGGGTTCCGCCCGAGCGGGACCTGCAGTAGGGCCCGCATGGCGGCTTCGCCCTCGTGAAAGGTTTCTAGTCGCGCGGGCATGACGTTGCTGTGCGGTGCCGCGTGCCCGTAGAACAGGTCGTCGGTTTTCTGTTGGAAGAGGCGATCGGGCTGCACGAGGTGCGGAATCAATGTGAGTATGGACGAATTCACCCGCATGGGATGACAGAGATCTGAAGATAGGGTTCGGACGAGCTATGAGAAAGTGTTGTCTCGACGGCGCCCGAGTATTATGCAGCCTCGGATTGCAATGGATTGGGCAAATCAGTTAGCGGTCGGGAGAAATGGCGGCATCACATCATCGCCAATGAGCAATGCAAATGCCATAGTGAGGTCTGGTTACAAATCAGACAAGTTTGCTCACCCGTTTGCCGCATACCCCGCACGAGCATCTGCCCAACTTGCCTAATCGGGTGGTTGCATATGGAACTATTTTGTGGCTGAATTTAAGCTTCGACTTAAGTTTGCTATTGACAGTACAGGTAATGCAAATAACAATACGTTGGAACTTTTTACGAAAAAAACGAGGGTATTGTGAGCGTGACTATCATCATGAATATCCTATCCTGCAGTGCATCGTCGTAACCACTCGCTTCGTATGCTGCAGACTGGGTATTATAACGTGCTGCATATCTGGCCCTTCCTGGCCACTCATATATCTTCAAACGCTGACATGAATGAATGATTGAGCTAATGAAGCTCTAAATAAAAATATGTGAAGTGAATGATCGAGCTTAATTGAGCTCTCAATATTGATATCTCTGTCTTTCCTTATATTGCGCCTCCAAGTCGTATGGTTGTGCGTTGCCGCGCTGGCTCGGAGGAACCCAGCTTCCGTTTGCAAACTCGTCACCAGTGTTGCTGCGCTGGATCGGAGCAAAGGATGCGTTCTGCGGCGGCGCGCCCCGTTGGAAATACGGGTCGCTTGTCGCTGATCGAACGGGGCCCGGAGCAGTCACAGATCTCTGTGCCGAATATATCGGTCCACCAGGAGGCGCAGGGCCTGTTGTAGCGCTGCGAATCGGTGGCGGCGTTGGGGTTCCATATGGTTCGGCAGAGTACGGATTCTCTGCCGAGGAGATTTGCCATTTCGCACTTGGATTGTACGGCCCATATTCGGGTGGCTGTGCTTGAGCTATAGCATTGGGGAACCCTCGCCGATATCTATGCTCAGACCCATCTAATGACTCGCCCGTTGACGAAACAGAGCGAGAACCTATGCTCCGTTGCGAATTGGACGGCCTGAGAGGATATTGGGCAGTAGGCTCTGCGAAAGAGAGCTCGGGCAATGCGGACTGACCCAGACCGCGGCGAGGTTCCTCCTCCATCAGCGGCATCGGAGTAGGAGCATTGCTATATGAATATTGGTTGCCCGTGCCGGGCCGCGAAGCTTGGCTGTGCTGTGAGGTGAGTGTACCAGAGCGTTGGGGTATCATACCCACACCTGGACCTCGCTGCGACATGGCTGTTCCGGGGCGTTGAGGTATCATACCAACACCTGGACCTCGCAGCGACCCGGCTGTACCAGGACGCTGTGGCTGCATCGTGGGCGTGTGAACTGGCCCTCCATAACCCATGTCTGCCGCGGCACTGATCAGAGGCACACTGGGAGAGTAACTCGAATTGGAGCCATCGGTTTCGGTGCGAGTCAACGCAGTTCTGTTCATATTGCTCAGCTCAATACCGCCTGGGGTGTTGGGACGAGATTGGTAGACAGGGAGCGTGTTTCCAGTGTCAGCGCGGTTGAGCGTGGGCATGGCTTCTAGCTTGTCGTCAGCTAGGGCAGAAAGGTCGGGCAGTGTAGCAGCGCGCTCTGGCTGCAACTTCTCGCCCGTCATTTTGGCGGCTTTGGCTTCAGCCTTGATCTTCTTGGCTTCATTCTTGGCAAGGGCTTTGTTGACCCTCTTTGTGACAATCCTTAGCAGCGCCTTGTTGACTTTGCGTTCACAGTAGCCAGTGAGGCCTCCATCGGCTCGGGGTATCCAGTGAAACAAAAAGAAGACGTAGAAGAGGACGGCGACGATGAGAAAAATGAGGGCAAACGCCCAGACCACAAAGGTAAAGGCCATGCCAGACAAGATGGCAGCTTGGCGATAGTCTTCCTGGGCGAGAACCTTGAGCTTGTCAAAGAAGCCAACAAAGGCGCCATCGACAGACGTGGCTTTGGTGGCTAGCTTCGCTTCGTATACGGACTTGAGGGTGAAAGCATTAATCACCTGGCGAGGACCCGAGCAGACCAAAACGCGAATCCAAGCTGGGGCGTATTAGCAAGCAAATTGAGCATGTGTTGGAAGAAGACTTACATTTGAAGCTGAAGTAAGTGAATAGGGCAATGTAGTGAGCTCCCTTTTTACTCTTGGTGAGGGCAGCAAAGACTAGGAATCGGCGCCATCCTTGGGCCTTGCCGACACGAATAGACTCCCATCGGACAGCGAGCGGATCCATGTAGGATTCGGCAATGTTGTTTCGCTTAATGACACGGGTGGCGCGGATGGCTTCGTACCCAAGATTGAGAAAGGAAAGAATGATGCAAATGGAAAAGATCCATTTGGAAACGTCAAAGGAAATGGCGGGCTTGATGGTCGATGACCACTTGTTAAAGGCAATCAGCTGAACGGCGGTGAAGCTATCAATTGAGTAGACGGCGATGGAGATAATGAGAGAGAACCAGAGATAGCCATAGGCAAATGGGGTGCCACAACCAGAGGCTTTGAAGTCTTGGAGGTTGATGTAGTCCCATTTCTGTTCGGCAAACTCGTGGGTCTGCTTCTTTCGGTTTCCGCAACAGCAAGCCATGATCACCGTCGGCCAGCGAGACGAGCGATGATGGCGATTTTAGTCGAAAAAAAAAGGAGAAACGAAGGGTGACTGATGATGAAGAACTGGCCTGCCAATGACACAAGTCGCCTTCGCCTGCGAAGGGTCGACCGTGGTGGTGAGGAGGCGGGTAGAAGTCGGCGCGAGTGAAGGGTGAAAGTGTGCTCTGACGTTGCAGCGTAGGAGGTGAAGAAAGGTTTGTACGATCGAGTCGTGTCTGTGGTATCGAAGAGTCTTATTGACCAGATTAGAGCTGCGAGATAAACATGTCGCACCAGCGGCAATAATCAGTTGGACTGATCGGGGGGTGGTCGGTCCAAAGTTCTCAAACGTCGGAGAAGGGTTATTTTGGGATGGCGTGCAACTCCTCGAATCGAAAGAGTTGAAAGGCGGAGAAAAAAGGCGAGAAAAAGGAAAAAGAAATACGGCAAGGTTCTCCAAGGGCGTTTGGGAACAAAGAGCCAAAATGGGTGGTAGAATATGAATGATGATGGCACAATCGCGAAGTGAATGAAACCGGCCGAGATAAGACGATGGCAGTATCCGTCGAAGGGACGATGAGAGCGGAGACAGGCGAAAGACGACGGGCCAGCCTTGCGAGTTTGGAATAAGAAAAAAAGTAGAATGACAAAAAGAGCGTTGGAAATTTGTTTGGAATGTATTGGCTTCAAGATGGAACAAACGGGAGGCAGAATGGCCGACTGGTCAAGTGGGCGGGAGGGGACTTGGTAAGGCCAGCCAGTGTTTGACCCGATTAGCGGGGAGTTTGCGCGAGGCAGGTGCAGGTACCAGGCACAGACAGGGGACCAGGGGTGAGAAAAAGAGTGGATAAAGAGGAGAGCATAGGATGTGGGGGCCCAGTTTTAGAGCTCTCCCTGGCCTTCCGCAAGCAGAAAGTGAGCAGCGCTGCAGCCTGCAGGTGATGCAATTCACAGGGGCTCATATGGCAATGCCCGGGGTTTTACATGCTCATTGGCCTCGAGACGGTCTTTTAATTAAGCGCCTGGCTCAAGTATCTGCAGTGGCTTTATTCGTAGCGCCGGCTGGCAGTCACTGCGGACCTGTGGTAGACTGCAGACTCCACTGCCAGTCAGCCGTTGTATTGATCATCTACGAATACTTGGGTTGACAGAGTCAGTGAAAGGGAGTGAAAAGGGAGTGAAGGCGGGTTGGTTGGCTTTCAGCCACGACCCTCAAACTGTTTGCTGGCGCGCCGATTCCAGGGCGAGGCTGGTCTCCATCGTCGCTCTCCACTTCTTCCTAGCTCCCCGCCGCCCATTGTTCCATTCCAATTACGCCAGCAAACGGAACCGTCAAAGTAGCAAATCGACAGTGCAATTGCTTCTCTCTCGCCAGCCAGCCTCATCTGACATGCTAATTGTAGTTAGAAGTGTCCGACAAAAGAAAGAAAAAAACAGGCAGGCAGGGTCGGGTTTCGCCACGTCACTGTCCCTCTACTCTCACGCAAGCCGTGCGTCACTCTGCGACGGGCGAATGCTCTCCGTAGCCGCTCCATGTACAATCTTTCCCAATCATCACGAAAAGGTACATGCCGAACTTGGCTGCAAAAAGAAAAGAAGCAACTAAAAGTGAGCCGTTTCGCAATTGCCATCTCACGGCCATGCCCGCGTCCGACGACCCCTACCTCTAACTAGTTAGTCGACTTTCACCAACCAAATTCACGCCACTTTTGCCCGGCCCCCATCCTTGTGAAACCAGTGTGGCTCGCCCATCTTCACCTCACTCAGCGCATCTCTTGACGCCCACCACCAACCACATCTTTTCTCCTTCTCTCTCTCATATGCACCTTTTCTTCGCTGTCTGCCCTTGTCCTCCCTTGTCCTCGACCTTTCTCATTCCCATTGACAATGCTTGCCTGCGTCCTGCTATGCAACGTCGAGCACTATATACGCAACCATGGGCGGCTAGCTGCATGAAAAATGTTTACTTACTGCGTCGACATGCGACGCCTTGGACACCGATATTGCTTTTGTCTTATAGATTTGCTATGCTGGCTACCGGTCTTGAAACGAAGTTTATGGACCAGCCGATTACTCGCCCGTCCCCAGCCCGAAATCCCGCAACAGCCTTGTCTCCAGGCGCCCAACTAATCGGTTGTGTTACCAGATGGAAAACGCCTCTTTCGCAGTATTTGGAAAAATTCCTCGCTTGACATCTGATAAACGACTCTCGCCACTCCAGCTGCTCTGCTGAAATTCAGTCGACCGTTTTCTGCTGGGTCTGCTCTCGCACGAAAAGTCATGCCATAAGCAAAGACGGCCAACAATGCAGCGTCGCCATGCAGCCCCAGGTATAATACCCTCCATTTATACCTATTGCCAGCGTGTGCGATTCGAGCATAACCTGATCGAATCAAGCGGCCCCATCCGACCGACTGTTGCTGGTCCTGCCTACTACGGCCTGGTCAAACACACCAAACGCATCGCGGGTAGACTAGATGACTCGTTCCAAAACAGCGCATTGTCCAAGCTTGTAGTAAACACGGAAGCGAAGCTCCAGAACGCGCAAGTCGTTGTCCCTTCATAGCGCAAAATCATGGACACGACCAGGTACCAATCATGCGTCTCTGCAGGCCTACAAGTCGGCCGTCTTACTATCGCGAGCGCGTGCACGTTGCTATAACATCGGGGAATCAACTTGACGAGACAGTCAATATTTACAGTGGTCTCAGGCCACTACCTTCTACGGAAGCCGTTGACTAACTGGTATTTTAGGTAGCACATGATTTTACTCGCTGTAGACTTGATGCTACTATGACGCCACGGCTGGCAGCTGGCCGCTGGCAAGTGAATGGCCAAAGTCCGATGAATTTGGCATACTCTATAATATGCGTGCTCTTAAAGGCGGAATGCCTGGAGCTAGTACACGCGATAGACACTCGCTCGTAATGTGAAGCCTGGGTGCGGCCATCTCTACATGTCAATGAACAAGCACAATCTGGCACATACCCTCGAAAGCCTGGAGCGTCTTCAAGAGGCGCTTGTTGAAACATACTACTGTGCTCCTCTTTGTGAGCTTGTAGTCTGGCAATGCGGCGATGCAAAGATCGGCACAGCAGCGGCGCATCCTATTTGTGGCGTCTCGATAACAGCCGAAGAAACGACACAGTTATCAACCTCTAGTAAGAATGCGCTATTCCGCAGAGAAACCGCCGCCGAAGCCTCCCAAGGCAGTAACGTGATGGGAAATGTGCGGTCATCAAATATATGTCATTTTAATCGGTGAAGGCTTGATGAAGCTTCTTCTGGTACTCCTCTTGATCTTGTAGTTTTCGGTCGATAATGCCCGAGATATTGGATCCCCATGTCAGGGCAGCGAGGCTGTAGTCGGCTTCTCTCAGCTCGTCCACCGCAACACCAAAGTAGCTCGGTAAGATTCTGTCGAATAGGATTTCATTGAAGGCAATCGGACATTTCAGAGCCAGCGTAAACCAAAACGTGCCATTTTCCCACATTTGCTCCATGATAGATGAGAGACGCTTTTTGCTTTCTTGACAGTTCTGGAGCTGCTCTTCGTGTCGTAGGTGCTCAATGAATTCTGCATATTTGGGCGCAAAGTCGTCAATCGCCGACTCGTGCACCAGCCCATCCTCCAGCCAGCACGACGGTGATTCGAGAAACTCTACTGGCAGTGAGCAAGCAAACTCGAGGTCGATGATACAGGTAATTTCCCAGTCCTTATTAACGAAAATGTTACTCTTGTGAAGATCGGTCAAAGTTAGCACGAATGGCCCATTGGCAAGTTCACGTCGAAATAGTTGTGGGAATATGGTCTTGGCAACAGTAAGACTAGACATCTGCGTGAGTGCATCATGGCGACTCGTGATCGAATTTGGCTGACTAAGTAGCCGATTATCAAAAGCCGTTAGACAGTAAAGCACCAGCTCCTTGACGTTGAGAAAAGTCTTGTTGCGTGGAATGTCAAGGGGGTATCCTTCGTTCTCATGCATCATGTGTTGCACACTCAGGGGCCGATTGACCAAATGTAGATAGCCCTTGCTGTCTAGGCGAAATGAGCCGATACGCGGCAAGCTAATGCTAGACAGCGAGAGCAATATCCTGGCCAGATTACGTTGTAAGTTCTCTCGAAGGCGAGTGCATGTATGGTTGTCGTCCCAAGAGTTCGAAAGCATCTCCCCACGGTCCGCTGTAATCGTTTCGATGATGAGGTACCCAATATCAAGGGCGGCAAATTGACTCGAGGAGTGACTGACGTATGATGAGGGCTGTCGGAAGCGAAAAGCAGCAAGTACGAATCGTCGAATACGCTGTAAGCAGCGTGACCACCAAGGCAGGAACTCAAGGTGCGTAAACTACACAGCAGTCAGCGGTGGGTGGGTGGATAGGTGCTAGCCGAAACAAGTACCCTCTGATTCGTAGATAGCCCAAAGCCGTACAGTCGTGGAATAGGAATGGATGGGCAGTTCTCTTGTAGCCATGCGTACGTCGCGGCCTCGCAATTCAACTTCTCATCAGAGTTCCCAAGTTTCTCAGCCTCGCCGACGCGGTATGGCAAAGGAAAGCGGATTAGAACATGTTTTGGGACATGTGGCTGGGCTGAGTAATCGATACGGAAACCGACAGGTACACAGAGATTGAAGGATCCGTGACGCCAGTATTCCTGGGGGGAGATATCAACGTCGGCTGTTTTGATGCCGAGGTGGTGAGCGACAACCTCAGCGAGCAGCACCCGGTGGCCCTCTATACGCCTGTAAAAGGCTTCTTTTTGTGATGGATATTGCAAAGCGTGAAGAATATTGACACTTCGAGCCTTGGCATCGGTGAAGGTGATGGGACCAGAAAGCAGACTGCGCGTCGTCATGGCGAGCTAATTGGAGATGGAAAGGGGCAACCGACATTGAGAAAAGAGGATGAACCAAAGTGCTGTTAGCTTGCGGAGTAGATCACGAACGGCCATCATGTGACCTGCCCCTGACCCCGGCGGTAAGGCCGATAAATTATAGGTATCTTGTCTGAAAGAACTTTGAGTACCTTCTCCAGGTGTTTATTTTACGTTCGGTGACGAGGCCATTTCAAAAGTGAATTTGTTTGGGATTTCATTGGGAATGGGGAGGCGATGATCGAAACTTTAACGGGTTAAAATGGATCTTATCAGCGCAGATCCAAGGTACAAGGCACCTGGAATCTACTGGAGGCCACTCACTTGGCATACCCATTGTTGGCTTTTTAGCGTCAACGGTGGCACCCAGTTGGAACCATCCGGACCCTGCTGTGGATGGTGAGAGAACGTCAACCTCCTCCTCGCACTGATATCGCACGAACAATACAATACATACAATACACACTAAAAATGACTCGAGAACAACTCTAACGAAAGAGAAGCCTTTGAATGAGAAACATCAATTTCTAACTTCCTTTACTTGGTCGCGCGTTCTCAACTGGTAGTTTTAGGTACGACAACATGATCAATGGACCGGAGAGGCGATTTCTCGAAATACAAAGCGCCAGATAAAATGCAAGACAATTGAGCAAGTGAGAGCGCTCGTTACGCGTTGAGTACCGACCTAATGATAAGCAATGCTACAGAGTAAAGCGTGGCTAACAGACCTAACAGCCTAGACTAGTGCTTCCGCTTGTTTGCTGAGCGCCAACTATCCGGTGGTGGTTAATTCAGATTTGAACATTTGGTTGAGAGAGTAGCTAGTGACGGCCGTCCTGCTACCTGCTACTGCTGCCACCGCCGCGACACGAGCAATGCGGCCGGAGCATCAGCAGTATAAACGGCGCGCCACAGCATGGACCACCAGCCTTTGCGAGTAGCAGGCAAAACGCTAACAGAGTCGTATGACGGTCAAGGGCTGTAATGAGGTGCGACTTGTTGCTGACGGTTGAACGTTAGCGCCGCTCCATTGCAAGTGGCAAAGGAGCTGGCAGCTCCACCTCGTGGAATATGCGGAGGAAGAAAATAAAACTGCAAAGAGACCACTAGCATGAGTGTCGACAATATTGCCTGTTGCTATAAGCCTAGCTCAATGTCACTTCCTGAAGAGATGACGCGACATTATTCAACAGCCTTTGGCATCGTTTTTCCTTGAACAAACGGATGCATATAGCCCTGTAATGCCGTGAGCCTCCGTTCAGGAACCCACCACACGAAACACTGAACGAAATTGAGAAATGTGTCTCTTTCATCTCCCTTCAGAGATGTGGCTAAGGATTCAAAAGTTCTCTCGGTGGGAAGAGGGACCAGTCCAGTCCAATCGCCTGAGACAACAAATCGTGGTTAGAGAGAAGCGGACATACAACGGCATAGTAGCTTAGAAGACTGCTTACCATCATCATCCCAATATTTTCGGGTTGCAGGGCTCCTTTCTAAGAATACACGAGGTGGCGGACCCATGAGCGCAGTCATGGCTGCAAGATGGCAGGCGTCATTGTGCTCCTGGGACTCGCTGTCGTACACGTCGAAGAGCTTCTCTTTCTCGAGAAGATCCCAAGCCTAGATACAAATAAATAATTAGTAAAGAAAATTTACGTGAATATTTGGAATGGTAATTTTACCAGTAACCCAGCGCTCCACCTATCTACCTCGGGCCCCCATTGCATGCCCAGAATCACTTCAGGTGCGCGATATGGTACCGGCATAGCATTTCCGTGTTGTTCTGCACCAATGCGTGCTTGACCAAAGTCGGAAATGACCAGCGGTCCTGCACCTCCCAACACGTATTGAGAACCGTAGATAAATCTTTCCCCTAATTGCTTTCGTGCAATGGGTGTGTCGATCTCATTTTGTTCCACTCTTGAGAGAATTGATTCGTCTGTGAGCGCGATCAAAAGATTATCCGCGTGCAGATCTAATTCGATGCAGTTAGTGATCGAGCCAGATAAAACAAGAGTATAAATAAGAATACCGGTATGAATAACATCAGCCTCAAGAAGCAGATTCATGCCTAGAAAAACCTGCCCCATCGCACCGGCGACGGTTTCGCGCGGAAAGAAGCCGGTTTGTTGCATGTCTTGGAACGATCGGAGACTCATTCCTAGGGGCTTCATAACAAGCACGTCATGTTTTCCAGCTGGGCCATCTATTTGAAAGGACTCGTGACTCTGGCGGACATTTTGGAAGCCGAGCTCAGTTGGAGTGTTTGTCGGAGCGTTTGCAAGATGTTTGTACACAAGAAGTTCCTGATTGTGCTGCATGGTGTTGATGTACACTTTGAGTGCCCAATATTTGGCATCACTAACAAAGTCAGATATGTGCGCTATTGTTGACAAGCTTGCCTCAAGTAGACTGACCGAAGATCGCGAGCTAGCCATACAGTTGAGGTCACGCCGTAACCAAGTTTAGCGACAACTTGGTGGTGTACATGAATGACCTCTCCTATTTGCATCGGGTAATATTCATCACAGATGTAAAATGGCAGTCTTTCTTCTTCGAGCTTCTGGGCTGGGTCGATTACTTCGAACCCAGTGGTGGGAAATTGGCGTGGCTGCTGGAGTGCCATTTCGTCTTTTCCGTTAGCCAAAGATGTCATGACACGGCTCGAACTCAAAAAGCGCCGGGACAGCTGCGTCCGTGAGAGAACTTGTAAGAGGCGCCGTGGTCCTTGTCGAGAAAGCATGACAACGAGAGAGGGAGGGGTATGCAGAGATCTGGGGTCAGAGTCTGAAGTGGACGGATCTTGGGAGCTTGCTCGATTTGACCCGCTTTTCTAAGCGCTGTGTTTGTCCTTGTCGCACAGTCTCGGCTTTCACGACATGATATTGGTGAGCTAAAACGATAATCAGCCAATCAATCAGCCGTGAAATTCGCCTCATATCTGCGTGAGTACAGAATAGACTTATAGATGTATAGGATCCGGTCAAAGTTATTGTACACCGTAGACACATGAGCATTGCCTTCTGGGGACTGTATAAGTACAGGATGTTGGTTACCATCTGCAAATACCAAGATGCACCACTCTCACAATTCTTTGTCTTCCCCCGGGACAGATTTTCATCGAATTAATTATGTCTGATTCTAACCAAGAAGCCGATCAAGCTCTTACTATCGTTGGAAAGGTGTCGAAGTCGGAGGTGCTCAGTCTTAACGGACCCCAGGGACCAGAGTGGGTTCGCGGCATCAAGGTCGCAGAAAAGACTGTGAAGACAGATGTACGCATCTTATCTTTTAATATAGTTGCTATCTACTAACGTGTTGCAGTTCCCGAGCGTCTCAGCCATGTTGATTGCGTATGTAATAATCAACAGCTAGCATGGACAGTGGAAGTAGAGCTAACGATCACGATCAAAGTGGCGGCAAAGCTCACCAGTCTCGCGATGTGCAAGCCCATTCAAACGTGATCAGCGTGAAATTCTATGATGGTGACGAAAGAAAAGTTGTTTCCGGTCATGTGCACATGGACGGCCGAATTGAATATAACAAGAAACTCCCCGGCGGTGGCTTGAAGAGCACCTGGAAACCAACGAGAGAACAGGTCAACCAGGCCAAATGGACGATTTACGACACGGACAAGAAGAAGCAAAGAAAGGTCACAACGGAGGGCAAATGGTGGTATATAGAAATAGAGGGCTGCAAAGTTCCTTTCTAGTCGCAGATAAACCCACCACCTGCGTTCATAAATCCAATTCCATGATCAATTCGCCAAGGAAGTGGTACTAGAGCTATTGTGAAAGCAGGATAAATTACCTTTACTGCCCAGCCGACGCTTTTACTGCCGAAGTGTTCTCTGAAGCTCAGTTAAAAGCTAGTAATTGTGAAGTCCATTAGGTGGACCTGCGTCAACTACTACAGTGGGGTTGCAAAAGTGACGCTAATAAATATCGCGACCACGTCGCACATTTATAGTTGTAATAAACCGTTGTGGCGGCACTGCTCTGCGCTATATATACTGCTATTACGCCTTCGTTGATTGCTAGAACTGCTTTCAATGACCTGATCTTTTGCCCTGTGGTCTGACGGTATAGGCGTACGTCACATATAGCTCCGTAAACGTTAATATCTTTAACTCTAAATAATTCTAGAACTATAGCTCCTTTAACTCCTATTATTAAATAAAGCCCTTATAAGGAAATAAGGTTTTAAAGAATATATATAGTTAATATTTTTATTAAGATAATTATATTTATAAAAAATAATCTTAATTTAGTTAATATGTAAAATTATAAAATATTATTATAATTAGTTAATTATTTAATAAATCTTTATTATATTTTATGATTTATTTATTATTTTTAAAAAGGTAGAAAGATTAATATTTACTTTAACCTTGATATTAAATCTATTTAATTACTTAGTTTTTATATTAATAATGTATTAATAAATTACAATAATTTTAGTTATTTTACATTTTTCTAATAAAACCTTAGTCTAATATAATAATAGTAAATATATAAGTATATATATTATTAATAGATATATAAATATATTATTATTATATTATATTAATTAAGCTAATAAGCCTAACGTAGTAAATAAGCGAGTCACATAGATAAGTAAGTCACACACTCCACCT